ATGGAGCAGTGCTGACATCCAGTGGTACATGAAATACACCTAGAGAGCATACATGGAGGGCTTCCTTGGGAATATGCCACCTCCTATAATTTCTCTGTAGCGGAAACCCAGGGCTTTTATTTGGTTACATTATTAACTAGTTATGCGTGTTAAAACGGTGATCTTGGGTTGGGGCATGTAATCCAGCGCGTCAAAATGTGGTTGTGAACAAGGAAGCAATGACTTAAATATTCGTCTTCAATTTCCTGTATCACACTGTAAGTAAAGCAACAAAGCAAAACAGTATGATAAAAGAACAAGAACTTCAGTTTTTCTGACAAACCATAAAATCCTAGAAAACCAGTCACGTCTGGCCCAATGAACAGAAAAGAACAATCTTTGCTGTTCTAGATGCCTCATCTAAAGAACAGCAAAATGAGGTGCAAGGATACTCCCTGATTTTTACCTTCACATTTTGATTTAAATGAGAACTGCTCAACCATTGAGTATATTTCCTCTGGATTTTCTCAATGCTGTTTTGTTTCCTGTGTTTTCATCAAGTGATTCCTTGACTGCAGCCAAAGATTATGGTTGAAGTAGAGCATATCTTTATAAAGACTCCCAGAATTAGACTAAAGCAGTTGGTTTCCAGCCCTCACTGGCCCACAGACAAATAACGTGCAGCATACACTATTATAGCTCTCAGCAACTGGATCATCAGGGATTATTGTCCCTCACACCACCTCTCTGGAAATGACATACGTGCTTGAGAGCAAACACATTTTATTTGCAGAGTGTGAGGAACAGACAACTTCCAAATCCCGTAACCAAGATAAAATGACATAAATACTGATTCTCTGAAGACCATCAAATCTCAATATAGGATATCACTGCTGGCCATTTAGCTGGAATTTAGCCCTGTGTACTCCTTATAATCCTAAGAATAAACTAGAAGTCTGTGCATTTCTTTTCATTGACTCCTTTGAGACCCAGTAGTTTCAGTTGGACCTGTTATTACTTACACCCTTGCTCTTGAATCTTATTTAGTATTGCTGTACATTGCTGGTTCTTCCAAGAGCAGCTGTGTTATGGTGACAAATATCATAATTCCAAGTTTTACACAACAGATTTGGAAGTTTAAGCATATCACAAACTTCAAGCGGGTATAACTTTTATTTTTGTTTTTTCCGATTGTCTTGCCTTACCCGTTCTGGAAGGGATAGGCCCACTGTTGCCCAGTTTCACATTTAGGGCCTTTGTTTAGGGCTACTGCTGACACGGCAAAGCAGTATCCAGCTCCTAGAACTCCAACTGCAGCAAATATTATAGAAGAAAACATCTGACAGAGAGAAGAAGAGAGTTATTTTTATTCTCATTCAAATGGTGAAACGTGCCCTATTGATGTGAATGTACATTCTGTAAACTCAGCTCAGCTCAGTCAACTCCCGAACAGCTAAAAAACATTTATTATGTAACTACAACCTAATATATAATGCATGTCTGCACTGGTATTTAGAGGCTTTGAGAGATACGGGTATCGTTTGCCTCAAGACTGAAGGACTTGGTACTGACACAGTAGATGGCACTCTTCTCATTTAGACAGTAGGCAAGAGACCTCTTCTCTTGCTCAAGGTACCATGTTTCATTGGAGTTGCTGTCTTTTGCAAGCGATTATAAGGAAGACTGAAGTGGCATCAAAAACAAAAGTCAACAGCACCTTTACAAGTTAGTTTGAGCATCTTGGTCATAGTTGGACCAATTAATTATATTTTGCCTTCCTGAGTCTCCCCTTCGAGTTTCATGTTAGTATACTCTTCTTTACCTTCTCACCTGTACTTGTTCTCATTAGCTCTAGTAGTGCCATTAGAATTAACAGAAGGATGTTTTTGTTTTCCTGGCTTTGCATTAAGCATTTTTTGTATATACAAATATGTAAGTCAATCATGCAAAAACTAATGCCCTACTTGAATTTTGAAGCACTTGATTTAGCTGTAATAGTTTGTAGGTAGAGGTAATGTCTTTTATTACATCGAAGTGATATAGGTGGGTTAAATAAACCACACACGCTATCAGGTCTGTGAGTTTTTATTCAGACCACATCACCAAGACTGTTGCCTGAGTGCTGAAATGCATTTTTTGTTATGTTAGTCACAGGGCTGACTTCAAGTTCATGTTAATGAGGTAGATCGCTTAAGAATGGTGTTCCTGTTAGCATACGAGAACAAATTCAGTTCTCGGTCATGCTGTGATAAGGCTGCATCATCACGGAGGGATGCTGTCCACCGCGTGCTCGCAGCTGACCAGGAATGAGCCAGATCCATCAGGACTCTCTTAATATGGTAGTGTGACTGTGTTAATATTCCCTGTCTCTCAGTGAGCTGCAGCGCTAGCATGGGTCATCAGCAAGGTACTGTGTGCAGAATAGTTTACTTTCGGGACAGCACCATGCTTACATATGCTATAGCTTCTAGCCTACAGCTGTCTCATGCCTGGCCAGTGTGAACAGAAGCAGAGAGCACTCATAGTTGGTCACCCTGTTCGTATAAACATGTTCCAAGGTCAGCTGAATCGCAAAGCTGTGAGTGGAAGCCTGGCAGCAAAAGATTAATAGTTTGGTAGATGCTGAGGTGTATGTGGTCTTCAAAGCTGAATTAAACTATTCTGAAGTCACTCCTAACAGAAATTGTATAATAAAATGTTGTGAAGAGAAATATGTGGCTTCTAAATTTCAGGCTCTATTTGACCGTCAGTCCAAAAGACCTCAAAACTTTAAGGATGTCGGCTCCAAGTTCTCACTGAGTGCGTTATAAGAGATATTTAGAAACTGGATCTTTCCCTCCCCGTGGAATGGTGTGGAACAGGAGAGGTATTTTTCAGTGTAGAAAAGTCTTGGAAAGATGTTACAAACAGTATAATGTGAAAGAAAAACAGCAGCTGTTGTGCTAGTTTAAAGCAGTTGTGGTTACTGGGTGAAATATGCAGTAGACTCTTGTATCTTTTCTGGAACACTTCCCTCCACACTGCATATATAGAAACTCGCTTCCCATTTTTTACCTTTAAATAGATTTATTATTTTAATGCCTACTTCTCTGTTGTAAGCTCCATTCCCTCCTGTCCCCTCCCCCCCGCCCCCCCGAAAGAAAGCACTGCACCTGCTCTTTTGGGATTACGGGAAGACAGCATCATAGACAGAGCAGAGGACATGGGGAAGGCCTCTTTGAGGACAGTTAATCTCACAGTCATAATTCTTTTTCCACTGCTTTTTTTGTTTGTTTTTAATTGAAAAGCTTTTCCTTTATAAAAGGTCCGCTTGTGCCAAACAGAAAATATCTCAACTAAAGGACAGACTTTCCTGGTAGAGATTTATTTATTATTTGTCTCACTTTGAAACAAAAATATTTGAAATGTTTACTAGTGTCTGAAGGTATCCATTTGAAACCTTCGACTTGTGTAAAAGGAGACTATAACTTCAAAGTCAAACCTGGGTCTGACCTCACAGGTGACTCTACCTTAGCAGGAGGTTGGACTAGACGATCTCCTGAAGTCACTTCCAAACTAATTTTTTCTGTAAACCTAATAAGGTACTTGCAGCCCGGTGCATGGATGTACAATGAGTTGGTAATATAATAGAGCTTGTGCAACTATCAAAATAATACTAAAACTGCTGACAAAAATGATGAAAGAGAGAACTGTTACACAGGGCCAAACAAAGCAGAGGTTTTTCAGAAATTTGTTTTAGTTGCATCTATTATGAATATATTGTGATAGCACAATGCAAAATGGCGTACAGTTATGGTACCTGTGGCACAATATCAAAGGTACAGTGCAACTTTGACACCCTACTATTTCTACTTCCCATCGCTGAAACAAATGGCAGGGCTTTTTGTCTTACGCTCTGGACAGCATATGTCCAGTCTCTTGATGATTGCGAGCACGAGATATGTATGTACTTATTGGTAACAATTTAGCTTTTACTTTTTTCCATGATTCCTTTCACTTACCGCAAACCTCTTTCCACAGCTCTCATTACCACAGCATCCACAGCAATCGTTATTCTTAAGGCCCAAAAATACCAAGGCAGGAAAGATCATCTACCAATAACAGAAATATAGTTTGAATCGGGATGATTTCAAGTTACATTTGCTTTTAAATACAGTAGTTCTATGTCTTTTTTTTCCTTATCACTAAATTAAATTACCGACAGCAAAACTGTTGGATGACTTATAGCTTATTTATTGCTTAAAGAAGTATTTGCCATGCTGGAACCTGCATTTGAGGTGCTGAGAACAATGCAATAATGCAAAGTCTTGGTTTGGATGGGGGAAATCAGTGGGAATAGCTGAATTTGTATACTCACCAATAAACCAGATCCTATGATCCCTCCGAAGTACCAAACCTCATCTGTAATGTGTTCGTTGTTGTCGACCACTTTTCCTCCGGGGAAAAACAGCAAAATGTTAGCGACGGTACATAACACAGCCAGGGGGATAAGAGTGATTCCCAAGCACTTAGCACAATCTCCAGTGCACATGATTTTTTAAAGAAATTGTGAACACAACTAAGACAAAGGAAAAAATCTCTCTGAGGTTCTCAGCAGTGTTTTTAAAAGGAGCTTTTCAGCGTATTTTACAAAATCCAACTTCTGCTATGCCTTTAGAGGAACTGAGCCTGTGGACTGCAGCACCGTCTTTGAAGGGAGCATTCTATCAGTAACGCAGTGTGCTGGCTATTTATAAGCTCTCACTGCCATGATGTCAATTTTCTGAACCTCCATAAATGAAATTACGTTCAGTTCAGCCTGTCATTTTACCATGACAACCAATAACCTCTGTTAATATTCTACTAATGTGGATGAGACACTCGTTATCTGGGTTCAGGTCATGGGTAAATATCCTTCTTAGTTCTGGATCGTCATTTTTACAATACACTGTCCATCTTCACGCTGCAAAATACTTCTTTGTAGAGAGTGAAATGAAAATGTATAATGAATTGGCTTATGTTAATGACAGCCATATGCAGCGGAGAAGTTCTAGTGAGTTTTCTTTTATTTGGGAAGGTCAGCCTAATCATTTCTTGTTTTGAAACACTCAAATAACTTACAGATTTCCAATATATAATGGATTATTATGAAGGCAGTGCTTTGCATCTGGAATGTCTGAAAAAAGGAGAAGATGATATGTTCCCTTAAAGCCCAGTGTTTCATCAGTGCTCAAGCCAAATTTACGCTTAAAATTACACTGCATGTGGCAAGCAGACTTCAGAGCTGAAGTAGAGCCTCACTGTCCTAGCATGCAACGTTTGCTGAGGGTGTCCATGCATAACAAGTTGGAAGATCAGAGCAATAGCGCTTATGCATCTTACATGCCCATAATTATAACTTTCCAGATGCTAATAACAGACATATTTTGGGAGCATTTTCAGTTGGAGAGCCATTAAATGTCTGCAGGATGCAGAAGCCATTACAACAAAGCCAGTCTGCAGGTAATCTAACACAGGCTTTATGCGAGACCTCATCTAAACAGAATGAGAACTTCCTGTGTAGTTGTGCTGAGTTGGCTATGTTCAACAAAGCTCCTGTTTCCCTAGCTGAGTCTTTGGGCCAAGTTGCAGACTGCGTCTAAGCAGTGGAAGTAAATTGAGAGACTCTTATTTACTCCAGCAACTTTTAAGTCAGGTCCTGTACCTCTTGTAAATATATTGGTGAATATGGTGAATATATTGGTGCATATTCTTGTAAATATATTGGTGAAGGCAGGAGCGTATCTGGGGGGAAAAAAGCTGGTCCCGGATTAGTACATCTTTGTCATTAAAAAGCCAGAAACAAGCTACAAAGTGGATTTGAGACAGTGTATACATGAAACGAGTAGATGTGAATGTTTATTCAAACGAGCATCTCTGTTAAAGCAGGCCCTGCAGCCTTCTAACAGATACTGGATACCTTCTCTTTCCTACTTAGACTTGGCGTATTGTGCTGTAAAACTTGTGTTACAATAATTCTGATGCCAGGCTTCAATCACGGCAAACAGTGATAGATGCTGTTCCACTGTAGTTCCTGTGTGGACCATGAGAATTCCATAGATTTTGGGATGGGCACTAGTTTCCACTTTGTTCAGAGGATAAAGCTCAGCAGTTTCTCATTTAAACTTGAAACAAGCTTTTTTTCTTTGTGGCTTGGTCTTGATCCGTATAGTGAATCACTGCTGAAATTCTGAAGACAGGCAGACCAGAAATATCTAAATGTACGCCTTTTACCACCCTAAAAATCTCATTAGGTACAGGATCTTGGACTGTCCAAAACTGTCTTGAACTGTCCAGAGCTATGGCTTCGTGTTAAGTAGCAATGTTGAATAAATTGGTTTAAGCAGCCACAGTCCTCATAGAAATGCAGCTGAAAAAAGCAGAACTTACTGTTTGTCTAGACCAATTCCTTCATCTGAGTCATCACAAGCCACACAGGCAATTGTGGCGGTACAAGGAAGAAGGCAGAAGAAGGACAGGGACATCTTGAGCCATCACTGATGCTGAAGAAAGGCATCTGGAAGCAGAATCAACTTTATGCTTTTTTTGCAGAAGCTAAAAGATACAAAGTAGTTTTATCAGAGTGGACAGCCAGACCTAACGTCTTAAACTCTTACAGATTTTTTTTTTTTTTCAAATATATAGGAATTCATTTACTCTTCTGGGCAGCATTTCCTCATTTCATGGTCTGCCTGCTCATTGACTTTGCACACTGACATTGCACTTTGGAGTGAACGACCTGACTCAAAAAGAAATATATCCTGATTTTATTTCTAGCAGCGTCTGTTTCTTTCTTGAGCCCTGCGGTAGCCAACTGTCTTCTGGACTGTGGGATGAAGACAGTACAAGGCCTTTTACGAGTCAGCTTAGACAATGAGAGGTGAACGTTTCCTCATTCATTTAGCTACATGGATATTATGGCTGCTGTATGATTAACGTGTAACTTGACGGCAGCATGTGGAATTTTTCAGGTGAATTCTGTGAAAGATTGTGCGTGGAACAGTGTTAGCAGGTGTATAACATTTGCCGTTTGGCTCAGCATTCTCCCTTTAACAAGAGCCTGAATGTTATGTTACATATATACATATTAGAGCCTAAAGATTGGGTTGGTGGGTTTTTTCTTTTTTCTTTTTTTTTGTATTAGCTAGCTGATAAGTTGATTGTAGTTTAATTACATATTCACAGTCCAAACTCCTTTTACACGTCATTAGATGGCTCTGTAATCGAAATATTAGGTAAACCAGCTGATACAGAGACTAGTCTGATAAAGATACACATCCATAAATCTGAAAAAGTTCTTCAATTGGAGTACATTTAGAAAGAAAGAGACTAGTCTGACAGGATATCATTATTGGTGTTATGCCTGTAGAAAAAAAGGATGGAACAAGCTAGTCTGTTTAACGGTAGCTTGGGAACTTTATGCAGCGCGGTGCAGTACAGATATAGCAGAGACAGAGATACAGAGACAGGAATTGCTTGCAGACAACTAATAGTGAAGTTACCAGGAAATCCATGTTATATAAGTAAGTATAAGTAAGAAGTTATAAGTAAGAACTATAGAAAGAAACTGTAAGTAAGAAATTATGCAAAAAAGTCCTAATGAAACCCAACTTTCATCCCATGCATTATGCTGTGATAGCCTCTGCTATTTTTCTTTTGACTTTTTTCCACTGCTTTGTAAGGAAGCGCTATCATCTTAAGCGATATGCAATTAATACATCATACCTTTAAGTCGTGGATGAACAAAACACTGTAAGAATTATGAATATTGAAGGAGGAGATCACAGTAGCACTTTCTGCGCTCATCACTTCTCTCTCAGAAGAGAAAAATATTAATAACAACAAAAGGAAATTCTAAATTACAGTTTTGAACAATCTATTTAGCACTGTAAAATCAGGTTAGCAGACCAGTTAGTAAGGTAGAAGGGCACCTGGCTCACGAATTGGTCTGTGCCGAAGGTGCTTCCCATATGAACGTTGCTTATATGAGACACCATTTCAAAAAATACTTGTTTTGCTATGACTGAATACATGGCGCGATTCACATCAGCTCTGTCCCGCTGGCACCAGGAATTCCAGCGGCTCCAGGAAACTGGAAACTGAAATAACTTCTCTTCCCCTGAGAATATTACGGGTCCACGTGATGAAGCTGGAAACTGTTTTTACTCTTGCTGCGCCGTTAGTCGGCCTTTTCTCTGGCAGACTAGTTTGTGAAGACTTGCTGGAGCTCAGAAGGCTACAGACATTTTCTATTAGACTGTGCCACAGAGTATGCGCTCTTCTGTGTTTGGGGTTGAAAGGTTGACTTCATATTTACTCTGTGATCTCTGAAAGCTGCGCTACATGCTGTAAGACTTGTTTCCAGGAAAGACTAAATTAGAAGCGCTCTAATTTGTAATAACCCTATTCATCAAAACATTGAATTGTATGATGAAGATAAATCAAGACCTGGATATATCTTCTATGAATCATATTTTGAAACTATAGTATATGCCACATTTTAGGATTACACAGAAAGATTTTGCTTTAAAAGGAGAATGTTTCACATCATTTAAAATTAATCCCATTCACTGAAGCGTAGCAAGGAATGTCAGTCACCACTGCCAAAATAATCGCATGCATTCTTATGCGTATTCAGGAGAACAGAGGCCGATTCCTTTGTGAGAACCGCTCCTACACTGGAGCAAGCACTGATGTCTGCAGTGCTGAGAGGACTCGTGATTTCTGAGGAAATTGCCCTCGCTTACTTTCTAAAGAGAGTCTTAGTCAGATGTTTAGTCAGACAAATTTGGAGTGGCTTCTCACGCTTGCACATAATGCAGCGTGAATGAAGTCCACAGGTTCTTGGAGCGAAAAGCAGGTGGAGCAGAGCACCCTGCACAGCGACACTGGTTCCCAGCGGACTGCCGGATCCAGTCCATGCAGCCCAGTGCGTTTGGTGCTATCAGCATGGGCGGTTTTAGGATGTCTGTTATTGATGATTCATTGTGCTGTTTCTGGGAGTTGTGCTATATTTGTTTTTCGCGTTTTGTCATTCAGATTCCTCTCTCAGCCGTTTTGCTAGGGGTAGGGGAGGAGGTGAGTCACGTAAGCTGTTTGGTATGCGGTTGGAAAACATGACCCTCTACCTCCCACTCTGCACAGCCAGAGCAATTGGCTCTGTCGATTTCTAGGGACTTCCTGCTGCCAGCTGCGTGCTGCTTCCACCTGTGTCACGCTGAGAAAGCTGGGACTGGGGTATGTCTGTCCTCTTCCTCGCATAACAGAAACTGTTGGAGGTGTCGCCACTGATTGTTAGTCTGGCTCCCAAAGGAGAGGAGCATGTGGTCCAGTATGCCTGAAACCAACGTGTGCGTGACCACTGGGAACAACATTTTGAAAGGTGTGTGCTCATTAATTTAACATCTTATTCCAAGGAAGATAGGTATTACACAGCAAAAAAGCAGACAGGAAAACAAGTGAAGAAGTCCTGGCTGACAGGCAGCTCGTTCAGCACGTGGCGTTCAGTAGGATGTCCGAATTAGGCCGCTTTTCCTGGCTAAGACCTGCCCAAGTAGGCAGTTTTCCTGACTTTCTGCAGCCTTCTGTTGCCTCTGTGGCAAAGCAATTCGCTTCCATATTTCAACCGCTATGTCATGACTTTCATGACATTCCCAGTGGGTAGAGAGCCTCTCCCATTCATGGCACAGTACAATGGACTCAGTCATGGGCATAGGGGAAATAATTGCTGTAGATGGAGCATAAATCTTACTTTTTTTTTTTTAATGGCCTAGAATGTGGCTTTCTTGCAGTTGTGAATTTTGGCTTGTAGTAAGGAGGAAAGGTTTAAATTTTATCACATCCAGGACCCTCTCATTCCTGTTTGCTACAAGCGGCTCAACGGCAGATGTTTCTGCCAAGTGCTTGCCAGGATCCCAAGCTGACGAGCTGGGGTTACTGACCTTTTTCTCCTCTTCCTCCACTCTCCCACTTTGTCAACACCACAGAAGGCTAGCCAGGCTTCTCTGTCCGCCTGAATGCGTACTTATGCATGGCCTTTTTGTTTCTGAACTGCAGCCAATCGTTAAGTGAGAGTTTAGTTACGTTTACTTGTCAGTAGAAAGGGGTTAAGGTGAAATGGCATCTAGACTGAGCTGAAAAACTGAACTGCAGCCGACCCGAGCCTTTTCCAGGGAAGAGGGTAGAGGTGCACACTACACTTGCTGGAAGGGGTTCTTCCCTTCTGTCCTAGCTCACGTTCTTTCCAACCCTGGCAGCCTGTCTGGGAGTGGGACCAGTGAATCCGTTGTCATTGCCACGACTGCTTCTCCTTGAACACTCGCTGTGGAGACTTTGAGGGCTGGGAACTGGGGTGGAGCCAGTCTTTGAATTTGGTGTCATGCAGTTCCACCTGTTCAGCCTTCCCCAGCAATTGTGCAATCACCATCCTTTTGACATGCTCTCCTTTCTGACATGCTATGAGAGGCTGTCACAGAAGTTTTCTTCCTTACCTCGTCTCCTAAGTCTTACAGAGTTCATGCTGTGCAGAAAAAGATGAAATTACATATTTTCCTATGGAAAAATAATAGGAAAGAAAAGTCCCTCAGAAAGTTTTGGTATTTTCAGGAAGATATAAGTAGTGATGATACCATATCTGTTTTTTGCCTGGTTCCTTAAAGCACAGACAGGCAGTGATCTGCAAAGTACATGGAGACTGAGAGAATTTGATATGTCCTAGATTTCAAGGATATATATAAATATATATCCTACCTGTGGCTAAACCTGCACAAGGCATGGTCGCTAGTATTGCTTAACAAGCAATTTCAGGAACCAGAAGCTGTGATCCTGAAAGAGAATGAGAAGTAGCATGGATAGGGTAACCTGAAAGGTAGAGTAAATTATTCTGGATGCAGCATACACTGGTTAACCGTGCTCTTTTCAGTACCTGGGTTAACCACCTGGGATACCACCAAGTACTATTACAACAAATTCCTTTATTTTGTTGCTACAGATTTCTTACTAATGGTCTTACTGGTGAGCTCTCCAATATTGCATGGTTGTGTGATCTAGTTTAAGGCTGATCTGATCAAAAGCAACATGTATTTATTTTTTTCTTGTATTAATATTGCAAATTTGGAATAGGTTTTAGTTTGTTTGCCTGTGCTCACCACCTGGAACCTGACCATGCATTATTTTTACTCTTTACAACTGAAATGGGGATTTTCTTTCCTTTTGTTTAACTATCATGCCCTTAAGTTCTTGCTGTTAGCAATGCAAGCATCTCCAAATTGGTTCATCAGTGAGGCTGCCAGAAGTTACCCTAAATCCTTAACCTAAGTGAGCACATCAGCATATCTAAAATGTCCCTGGAGGCATTCAAACTGAGAAAAACCATATCCATCCATAGGAGATTCTTTGCGGAGGCACGAGAATGCTTGTGGTCTAAGAATCTTATCTGCTCTTGACAAAAGGCCTTCTGAGCCCCTTGTTCCTGTTCCTCATGCAAATACGGGGCATGTAAAATGCTGCTGTTTGCACGTGCCACACACATGCACATGTGCGCACACATACCCAGACACCCCCCTACCCACACTCACCCACCCCCCTTCCGCTGCAGCTGCCTGTTGCCCCACAGGTGGTGGTGGCTGGTGCCTGGGTGGCTCCCAGCACGTTGTACCCCATGGCCAGAGTCCCTGTGGGGCTGCAGGTGTGTGCAGGCAGAGCCATGCATGCCTTGAGCTGGCAGAGCTACAGGAGCAAGGCTGTGGCTGAGGAATTATTTGCAAAAAAATACAAGGAGTAATTTGAATAAAGATTAAATTTGTCACTGATCTGTAGCTGTTTCCCAGACAACAAAGCATGATGAAGACAATGCTTGACTGAGTCATTTCCAGAGTTCCAGTTCGCGTTCCACTGGCCTGGATGCAGATGGACTGGTCTGAGAAATGCTTTAGGTGACATTTCTGCGAAAGGCATTAAAGTAGAAGAGGCCAGGCCTGGTGTTCTTTGTCGTTGGCAGTCATTAGTCACACATCTACTGCTTGCAAGCGCACGCTCTCTCTTCACTGGTTTTGATATGTCTTTCTCTTTCAGATTCTTCACTCTTGGGTCACAGCATTAGTCCCTTGGCTTGGAAATGGCATCTCAGCTCAAGTTCTTTTCCCGAAGGTCTCCTGTGGTTTGTACTCATGGCTGTGTCGCATCAAGTCAGATGCTTGCTACAAATATTGGTCTTGGTAATCATATTTTGACTTTACTCCAATAGATGAATGTGGCTTAATATGTACTTTTCATGTATTTATTCATTTTTAATTGTAGACAGCTGTGTCCTGGTCAGTTCTTGAATCAATGAACTGAACTTGTTAGATGTTATGACCCAAGGTAATGAGTTCATGCTTTTGTGGTTTTTATAGCCGCTTCCCTATCTTAAATGCAGTTTGGATATCTGGAATTTCATCAACTTTTGTTAAAAGTTCTGGTCCTTCTTCCAGTTAAGCCAGGGGGAAATTTGCAATGAATTTACCGGTAGGATTGGACTTAGAGTAGCACAATTGAAACCAAGCCTGGTAAAGTCTCTGCTGCTGCATGTAAATTTGTGTGTATGTGTGTCTATGTTTACATGGGCACATACTGATCTTAAACAAGAAAATACAGAAGGAACTTTCTGCATAAATCAGCCCGGGAAAGTTATCTTGTTTAAGAGGCACACGTTAACACTGAATGGTATTTCCTTTTGTGTTGTGTTATTCTGCCGAGGAGTGGAGACGGACTGGTTGACTCTGGAACAAGTTCCCTTTCTTTAGAGAGAGAACAAAACAAAAGAGCTAAGAAATGTCTCCCTTCTTGTTACCCCAATCTTTGCTGCTTAGAAATGTCTCCTTTTGCGTTACCCTGAGTATCACTGCAGGGAATGGTCACATCAGTACGCTCTCCCCTTTGGAGTACACAGGAACGCCTCCCAGCTCTGACACCAGTGTGGTGAACGCGGGTAGACAGACGTACAGAGGGGACAGACTCCGTTCTTCCTTGCTAGCGATTCAAACCAGCCACCCCTTCGCTATGAAGCGTGTGGATATGCAATGCATATGGGGGAAATGCTAAAAGAGCAGGGCTTCATTAGTGGGGCTGTGCACGTGCGAAGTGGAAGCCATCACACAGCTATCCACAGCTTTGGCAGGAGAAATTCGTTCCCTTTTCTGTTCACAGACTTCTCTGTCAAATCTCGGGGCTAGCTGTGTAGTGAGGCACGTGAAAGCAGACGGGGAAAATGGCTAGGAGAAAACTAGGCATTGTGAACTTCCCTTTCACGGTCTTCTCCTGTAACACCCCCAGCTGCTGGACATCCCTCTCGCCTCTGAGGACAGACTAATGACATACGCAGCTTCCCTGGGATCGTTTTTGACCTTTGTCCTGTTCTTGACGATTCCGTTCAGATAAGAGCTTGTGACAGATGTAGCTTGGCACAGGTGATGTTTTAAGTTGCATATTAATATCATTGTGAAGAAAAGCGAAGCATGCTAATGAAGAATATATATTAAGAGAAGTGGGCTGGGAGACATATTAGAACTGAAAGAAGCCTGGCTTTGCTTCCTGCGCTGGCAGTTTTAAGTGACATCAGAAGTCTGGATTTAGCTATGATTTCAGCTTACAGAAAGATTAAATTAAGTAGGTTCTGGGCTGGGCATAAACTATAGAAAGGTAATCGTCAGCATAGACTGGGTGGTTCCTCTGACACTTTTGAGGATGGAAATAGGTCAGACAACAAAATCTGAATTTTAATATCTTATTCTATGTAAAGCTTTTATTCCATGCCACCACTCTGATATCTGATAGCCTGATCCTTATCTTTCCCATTGGATAAAAGCATTAGAAAAGAAGTTTTGCTTTCCATTGTTGTCAGGCGTGTGTTCAAGATACTGACATTTCCATTAAAAATGAAAAAACGATACAGAAATTTATTTTACATACAAATTGGACTTTTACAATCTTGTTGTAACTCAGCTTTATATTTCTTTACTGCCTTGCTGTTTTTTAATCATGTTGTGTTACTTTCCACCTCCTCCACTGGCCATTCACCAGCTTCTCCCATAAATGCTTTCAAGCTTGCTTTTCTATGTGAAACTTCCGTTCAGGTTTTAATAAACCCAGTCCTTCATTCTCGTCAAGACCTACTTTAACAGTGGGGCCATTAGGTAACTGTCAACCTCTGCCAGCTAGGTGTGTGGCCACTGAGAAATCTCTGATGCGTCTCCTGTTTGCATTACTTTAAGTAAGTAAAGCCTCTTTTTATGACTGTTATATTTGTTTAGTCTTGTAAGATTTATTTTTGGAGTTCCTTTGCAGAAAATATGTTTTATTACATATGACTCAAAATCCTTTTTTTTGTAAACCACAATCCCTGAAAGAGAAAGCAAAGGAGCATCAGTCCTACTGTGGGCCATATAAACAGCACTGAAATACCATTAATAGCTAGTACTGATATCTAAAATCCCACCTGAGATAATTTCCAAAACGAGAGAAAAAAGGAACTGGTTCACTTAGGGCTACCTGTTAATTATTTCTCTGTGTGTGTGTATGTACTTTCTAGTTTTGCGCTGATTTTTGTCAAAACCCACAGATAAAAAATCAGAATGATTTCCACAACTTTTTGACTGTCTATAGTTACAAATTCCTCCTGTCACCCTGAGTGCGCAACTGTCTGTCTCACATCTTCATTCTCTTATTGAGTATAATTTAGATCTTCTCCTTCCTCTTGACATTACAGAATTAGGTAATCAAGCAAGAAGTGGGCTGTGAAAGCCATGTCATTTTCTTTAAGCTTGAGAAATAGATACATTTGCCTCGTGTTTCTAATTTTGTTCTTCTAGTGAATGACCTGGTTTTCCTGCCCTGTGGGGGAAGAAGCTTCATTGGATGCTATCATCACTGCTGTTGATTTTGTGTAACTTCCTCTTCTTTCTCGGAATAAACATACCTGTTACTTACCATACGTCTTCAGAGCCTTGTAGCGTTCATTGGGACACAGTGCATTTCTGAAGAATGCAGCAGTATGCAGTGTGCCTCCATGTGTATTTTGCCCTTAAACGCAGTGGTTTTCATGCTTTGGTCTGCTCGTAGTTTCTTTTTCTGGCAGACAGTGCAGCTGAGGTTTCACAAGAAAATTTCAGTTATAAATGACATTTGTGCCAGTTCTGTAAAGCTCTGAAAACACGAGAAATTGAAATTACTGTTGCTTGAGTGAAATCTTGGCTACACATTGAAGTACGTAGCCCACTAAATTACCACCAGGTTCGGTGAAGGTGGATTTTAATGCTTTTGTTGTTGTTGATTCCGACAGGTTTTTTTTCTGTCTCTCTTCTTGTCTCCCTACCTACTAAGATTCTCATACTTTCGTGTCTTCCACAAGAACAAACATCTTTAAACTAAGAAGTTTTTGCAACTTCTGTCTCTGAACCTGGAGGTTCCTTCTTTGCACCTGGAAGTGCTCAAACCCTTATGACCTGGTCCAGCCAGGTTTCCCCCCGCCTCTCGCCTCCCACTCTCCTTTCCAGGGGACTTTCAGGCTGCTCAGATTTTGATAGACATCTCTATTGCAGATACTTTAAAGAATGGTGGGAAGGCAGTAGATGCTGCTGGGGCTGTAGCTGCTGCCCTCAGCGTCACTGAACCTGTCAGCAGTGGCATAGGTGGAGATTGCTACTGTGATGCAGACACAAAGCACGTGCGTGGTCTTAACGGAAGGTAAGTTCCAAAGATAAAGCCGGGGTGCTCCTCTCCTGTGCTAAATACCAGTGCAACTGAGAGGAAAGTGGTCCTGCAAATTCATTAACTCGCCATACCTAGGAACAATTTATGGCCTAAATGGCTCCAAGTGTAAAGCAGGAATAATGCTGCAAGTTTAAATAGAGTTGTTTTGCTTTTACTCTGGCCTAGAATACCTGTCTTTCAGATCTTTCTGGAGTTGGTGAAGGGCAGTGGGGCGGTAAGAGAGAACTAGCTCTTAATTTCTGCCATTTGTTTGTGTTGCTGACAAACACCATTCCCAGTATGCTAGCTCTTCAATACCATGTGGGCTTCTGTGGTAGTGAGGAGATGTGGGGCTGTGGTGAGTCTTGTGAGTATGTAGTGAGTATGTCTCTCCAGTTACATCCCTGCTTCTTGGCTTGGGATCCTGCCTTTGTGTTGCCCAGCTGAATTGTTCATATGCCCTGCTGAAATGGCATAATTGTGGCCCCATAGTTGTTTCTCCCAACCCATCTTCCTGTAAGGGATGTGTCTACCTTACAGACATCCTTGCTTTAAAATCCCTTATGTGGAAATGGTTCGTGTGTCTCAGAGAAAAGTAATGAACCCTGGTTTGCAGGAAAAGAGTCCTAGGGTGAAAAAGATGTTCATCCTGAGCTGTTACGTTACTGATACCTGGAATACCTGGATGAAATAGGTTCAGTTATACTTCCAGACCATCTATCTGAAAAGAAGGCAGTTCTCCTTATGGATCATAAAGTGTAGATTGTGGAGGGAGGTAGACTGGAGAAAGACAGAACTACTTGCTGTGGAACTAGAACTAGATCATTCCTGTTTACTTTGTGGAACAAATTCCAGAGTCTAGCATGGTTTTGAATGTGTTTGAATTTCAGAGTTGCCGTGGATCTGATCTTCCAGGCTGTATGTCTCATGTACTTAGAGGCGATTCTGTGCAACTTGTGATTGACAGCCAGAATGTTATCATTTACTGAGTGCATTTTAATCAATTCGCTGTGAGGCTTGGATGTTTAATGCCTCCTATTTATCATCCTCATAACTACAAACATGATTTCAGCTGGCTAGTCCATCTCCCATGCTGATTTCACTGGGGACATGTTGGTTAAGAAAGGGGTTAGAGTCCGTATTTACATCTCATTTCCTCTTCAGTTGTTTGTTTAACTTCCTTCTATTTGAATTCTGTTCAAAAGAGAGATTTTTCATGACTGAAGAGAGAAGAATATTTTCTTCCACGTTGAGCACCTCTGATAGAAAAAATGAAGAAGTTAAAAAGAAAGCAGCCAGTTTGATTTTTAGCTTGGCAGGACCTTGGGGATCTGAAAAGAATATTCACCCAAGTGCCCGTTATGTTCCCATTTTGTTGGTGGGGTATGAGAGAGGATGGAAACACTAAATATTCCAGCAGCAACATGGAAGAATCTGGATTTCACGTATCACATGATAGAAATGAACCTGTTGGAACTGCTGCCGTGCAGCACTTAGACCAATATTTATGCCCTTTTGGCATATGACCAACAGCCTGTTTCCTCTGTCATGTTATATACGTGCTTCTGTTTGCTTTGCAGTGGCAGGTCTCCAAGGGCACTGACTGTTGAACTCTTGAAAGAACAAGGGTTTGATGAAGCAAATCCTCTTCCTCCACTTCATGCCCGTAATATCACAGTGCCTGGTGCAGCAGCTTGCTGGTATGATGCCGTTTCTCTATACGGAAGTAAAAAGGTGAAGTTAAACGAGAATGCCTGATACACCTTCAAATTCTGATAAGTTCCTAGTATATACAGATATGCTGCAAGTGGGATTGGGATCTTTTTAGTGAAGCTAGGGTTTTACTGAAATATAAGACAAATATTAAGATATGTAATCCAGTATCGTTCTCTTAGTGTACTTTTAACCCCCAGAAGGACAATATTAATGACGGAGGGATTTGAGCGCAAACATTCTTCATCCAGCTTTTGGCTCTTGTTCATCCTTTGAAGTTTTGACTCATTACAGAAATAACTCAGGATCCAGACTAGGTGGGGAGATTTGAGCTTGTGGTTCGAGGCTGTCTTGAGTTCTTTTAACTTCAGAAAAAAAGGGTAGCTTTCACATTTTTGTCTGCAAACTTGATGGTATATGTTTAAATGGATTTTTAGAAGAATGCTATGTATGTGGGTTTCAGTGCTTGGTAGCGTTTCAGACCACAGGCTAGCAAGTTATGTAATGTAATTGACACCATTCTGTACTGCCACGTGCTGTTGCAGTTGATGATTTTGATACCATTTAATTCTAGCAGGTAAGTCTGGTGGGTGTTTTGAATAGTCAAATAGCTCCCAATAATCTTGCACTCAGTATTGTCGCCAAGAACATAAGGCTGGAAAAATAGTTTCCCTGAGCAGGCATGGGTTCATTAACATTGTTGTAAGTACTCATTGCATAGGTAAAATAATAGTCAGACTCTGTAAAACTGTTCTGATTTGTAACATTAAAGACAGTGCTGCAAGTATATTTTTCAGGCAAAGTGCTATGTTAACATGTGCTGTTACTGCGCTCATGTGCTAAACGTTTGGGATTTTGGAGAGTGTGGGCTTATTTCTCCAAAAAACCCCAGAAGTCATGCAAGTACCTTAATGGATCTGGTTGTATACACGTTATTTGCCTTGAGGGGAAGTGTGTTGTGTAAGTCAAGCTCATGTTAAATTTTGCCGTATGGGAGTGTGTTGTAATGTCAGTAATCAAAAAATAATAATTTTACAGTCCTTTCCTGATCTTTCTCAGCTCTCTATCGGACAGCTGCTACAGCCTGCTATTGAACTAGCTGAACAAGGTTTTCCTGTGGCAGAGATTACTGCCTATCACTGGAAATGTGATGCTCATATTCTCCAGTCACTTGGAAACAAGCATGGGAAGGAGTTGCTCATTGATGGCCAAGCACCACTGCATGGGCAGGTTTTCTCCAATCCCTTTTTGGCCAGCACTTTTAAGGTAAGGAATGCACTTTTTGGGATACCGGAAACCATTGTGAGCCTTTTGGTTTTCTTCTTCAGAATAAATAAAACGTTTAATTTGTAGTTATACATTAAGGATCTAGTTAGATATCCTGTATGTATCCATGGTTCCTACTGATTCCTGTGGGAAGCCTTGTTGCAGAAGAAATGTGAGATTGAGTTGTCATACCTAAATCTTTCTTCACCCACAGTTAAGGCAGTGCATGGTTTTTGTGAGATGATTTTGCCCACCGTGCCTCAAGTTGCTAGTGACCTGACCTTGTAGTCTTTGTACTTCCTGGATGTCATCGTTAGGCTCCATAGGCTCTTAGAGTGCTCGTCCTTATGAACAATATGTTACTACATGTTTGTGTCTTTACCGGCAGTGAATTTACTCCTTAGGCACCACTGGAGCAGAGACCAGAATCGGAATATATTTGCCTTTGCACTGCTGTGGTTGCTCATAGATCTCTCAGTCAACAAATAAGTCAAATTAAAAAATGAGACAGATCATGCAATAGTTAAGTCGAATTTCACACCAGTTCTATAAACATTTAAATGTTACTTTGTTATGAACCAGTTGAAAAACATAGTATAAAATCTTGGGTGTGATGTGAATTGTTTGCTACCTGTAGACATCCCCATGCAGAGAGAGCAGGTACGGTGCTGTCCATAGAAAAGCCCATGAAGGCAAGGATGTGACGTGCTACTGCTGTTATCAGAATATGACAACTTTTTCTTAGCCCAGATTTCTTGGCTAGAGTGTTGGAAGGAGGAGAGGACGCCCCTTCCCTCCCCTTGGCCAGACTTCTTTGCCGCTTAGTTGTTGCAGCTTTGGGAAGTTGACCCTATTCCTGTTTTCAGATTGTTCACGTGAGGGGTGTGTTTGTCCTCCTCTTCCCTCACCCCCCACCAGATCACGTTATGCTCGTGCCCACAGCTCTTTGCAATCAGGAAATCGGCAGTAGGTTCAGCAACAATTTGGTTGCTCTGTAAACAGGCATCCAGATGGTCTGAGGCATATGAACTGTTTTGCACTACATAGTTTGTGGCTGGTAATTACTGATTTGTTGTTTTCGAATTTTCCAGGCTAGGAGTAGAATTATACTGTTGGTAACTACATCCACATTAAAGTCGCATAATCCTTTCCAGTGAAAAGCTCTGTATGCTCTACCTGTCCTTGTGGCTTGGTCCTGCTCGTTGTCACCAGGCGGTGTGTGGACAGGGCTCTGCTGCTGAATTCTTACTAAACACAAGGACTCTAGCTGTTGCTTCGTTTGGCTGCCTCTTCTCAGGCAAAGTTTAGCCCAACTGGAAACAGAATTAGCTGTTATTTTCTTGTAGAAAGCCCATCTGGTTTTCAGGTGTAGTATCCTAGTAGCCTCTCAGGAGCAGAGTTGGAATATGTTAACTGTTTCACAAATGTATCTTTTATTATACTCTGTACTTTAAAGTTTCCTTTATTTCATGAGATTTGGAATTTTTATCCATTTTATTTTATCCCCATAGTTATTGAAAACATTCAAGATATGTTTTTAAAATACTTTGAGGAATTTTAGATTTCAGAAGTGAAAACAAATTTTAAACATATTCTGAAGTAGGTCTTTCTGTTTAAAAAGAAAAAGATGAACCTTTATTGCTTTTGCAGGAACAATTATATTTGATTTTATAGACAGAGCTTCACTTCTGTGCTCAAAGTTGGCAGAGACTGTGAACTCCAGTTCGCCATTTAACTTCAATTTAAGCTCTGTCATGAAGTCTGAAAAATGATGCAAGACTGTTATTATTGGATCCCTGAAGCATGGGATATACAGGAAGTAAACAGCAGCTGTATTTTTGTTATTGTATTGTAGGAATGATATAGACTGCATTTAACGAAAGGAGAAATGATTTTACCGTAAAAAGAGGTTAATTAATGGAGGTTTTGCAGGAGCCTATGTAAAATTAGTTTTATTTCCATGGCAACTCTTTCTGCTTCCTGGCTAACTTAGTTTAAATAAATGTAAGACTGGAGCGGGTGGGAGATAGGCCTTTCTATTTAGTAATAAGTGGGCAACTACCATAAATTTCCATATCCTGAACAGATAAATATAGGTGCTTAACCTTGTTGTGCAGGGAATGTAATGTTACAGGTTGCTGAGAACCAAATGTCAGCAAAAACAAATAGCTAACTGGGAGTGAGAGCCTACTGATATGCCAGTTCATCCGTGCAAAAAACACGTACAAGATCTCAGCTATAGGAAACATAATGCATTGCTCTTTTGTTTTCTTTCTTAGATATGTGCTGTGAAATTATATTGTATTTCCTAGTGTGACTAGAGCTAGGTAACTGTTAATGCAGGCTATGATTAAAAAAAAAAATAAAAAAACCTTGCTCCTGTTTCTGCTTCAAGTTTGAAGTCAGTCACCACGCTATTGCAAGGCCCAGGCAGAGGTTTACCAGGGTGTTATTTTTCCAGAGACAAAGCCTTTGTGGGTTTTGGTTTTTGGTTTGGGTGTTTTGCTTCGTTTGGTTTTGTAAGGCATGGGAAGTAATCCAGTGCTGAATGCAAACAACATGTTTGTTCATAAAACTGTAAAACTTTCCAGCCCAGGTAGGGACAAAAACATTTTATTTCAAAAAGTGAAATAAAAATCTGATCTTTGTTCTCATATGCTTTCCTCTCAAAACTATAGTGTGGCATGTCATACAATCATTCATGTGTTTAGACTCGATAAATTAAGGGGTTTTTTTTGTGAATGGTTGAAATTGTTTCAGGAAAGAGTTGACTCAGCTTGAGTTGATTAGTTAACGCCTGTGTTAATATTTAATGGTGTGGTACCAGCCTGTACCCTGTTACTTTCGGGACACTCCCATATTGTTTCGAGAGCTGATGCATCTCCTCGCGTAGCGCCAGGTGTCTGGGATGGAGCGCTTGCGCGGCCCTTGCAGGCGCGCTGGTTCTGTTGCGTTCGTCTTTGTGCAGAGGCTGTGGTGGATCCTAACGGTGCAAGCGTTAAGGTTTAGAGAATTAGTCCAATCCAGAGACTAGCTGGTAGTGATGTATACTAGAAATAATTCTAGTTATCTGTATCTCGTTCTGAAAAATATCCTGACCCTTTTGAAGTTGGCCTGAAGTCAAGGGACTGTAGCAGCCCTCAGATTTCATACGTCACTTCTTTCACGTCTGTTCCTTACTCTGTCTTTCGCCTGTACCTCCTCCTACCGCCAGCGCCGGGGATCAGCCGTACCTGTGAGATCTGCTGCTTTCCCGTCCCCGCGTTCCTGCGCTGTCCCCCGGCTGTTACCGAGCCTGTCTCCCGTACGCGCAGACAGTGATGCGAACCTGGTGGAGCGCGGACCGCACCTACTACTGACTGCCTCCTCTCGCTCCTCGGTTATGGAAAGACAAGCGGGAGTGAAGGAATTGGAGTTCCTGCTCGTACGTTTTTTCTGAAGAGCCGACTGGTCTTAGCCTGTCAGAAAGAAACCTCAGTGAATCCTGGCACTCTTCGCCTCCGATGTGGGCTCTAGAGTAGCGAAAGCCAAACAGTTGGGGGACGTGAAATCTGTAGGGCTGTTCTCTGATCCAGCAGTTTCCTGAACCAGGAAGGGACATGACATACCAGGACATAACATACCAGTTTTGATGCAGCCCCAGTAGGATTTCAACTCCTAATGATTTGATCAGCTCAGTCATCTGTTTTTTTGAAATTAAAGATACCACTTGTCACTGTGAAACCATTATCTTCAGTGTCGAGCGATAGAGGGAACAGAACCGTGTACAAGATAAGGGAGGGCAACACATTGTACTCTTTCTGTGAGCAAGAGACATTGATAAGAGAAACACTGAAGAAGGCACCTCTCTGTTGCAGAAAGAGGGATTTGAAAAAGCACCCGAGTGGTTTATGGGCTGTTATTCTCTCTGCCAGCCAGTTAAGCTTCTTTGATTTCCTCCCCCTTCTCCCTTTGTTATATATATTATAGATAATGGCTGCTTTCCTCAGGTGTGCCTGGATCCTGGCTTCCAGCGGTTACGTTTCAGTGGTTAGAGCAGCAGAGCTCAGCCTCTTTGTTGCGACTGGGGATGCAGTTTGACAGCTGGCTGATGCCCGCCTAGGCTTTGACCACCACCAAAAGGAGGAGGGGCTCGGTACCGGCTTACTGACGGTTGTGCTTATTCATCTGTGCAGTGGATCGAGGGATGGATCTGACTGAAACTAGTTGTTTATTTACTGTTTGGTTTTTTTATTTCCACCACCGCTGGGGTGCTTTTCAGACAGATGAGTTCTCTGATCCAGCCCAAGCAAGGCCACGGGAACGCAAGGACCAACATCAGGGAAGAGGCAGGAATATATGGCTGCACGTGGATAACAGGACTGAGTCTGCAGCAACAACTTACCCTTAGATCAGGTTAAATCAACTGCTAAATTGCATCTTAAGGCTGTGCCGCTAACTGTTGTGGTGTTGGGCCTCTCCATGCAGTAACATTAATCAGTAATCCGTAACTTTAAAGTGTTACGGTTGGTTATTTGCATTAAGACAAGTTTTTCCAATCATGTTCATTTAGCCTCTGTGAATTTAAGTTACAACTAGGCAATGTTGGTTACAACTTGTTCTGCACAGGAAATCTGAACCTGGTCTAACTAATGTGGCTCCTAGTCGGGAGGAAGCTGCTGACTTTGATGGAATTCAGCTCCCTCAAAATGAGTGTGAATGAGAGCTGGATGCAGGGAGTTGGCTGCCGACTCATGCAGTATTGAGGCCACAGTAATAACAGAGCTGCTTCCAGCACCTGCTCACGAGAGGCATCCCTGGACGTGTTCAGGTGTAAATTGTTCCCAGTGCTTTTCAAGAAGATAAAATAAAACCCAGCAGGTCTGCTGGTGGTGGGAGTATGTAAGTTGCAGTGTTCTTAAGACACCTTTTTCCACCCCTCTGAAGTCCTGGATGTTTCTGTGTGCTGTGCAGTGTGAGCAGGGGTAGAAATCCATGAGCAGCCCTCTTCTGCTTTTCCCGCCATCACTAGGGAATCACAGAGCAAATAAGCTTTTTCCTTCACATTTACTGAAGGAACGGCGGTGAGCATAGAGCATGGCAGCTGGTTACCCTGGAAGATGGCCTCCCGAAACGCTGCCAGACGCCCCTGCCCTGGGAAGGGAGAGCCTCAAGCAAGGGGTGATGTGGGCAGTGTTTTAGCTTGGGTTCCACAGTCAGATTTGCTCATGCTTAAAATGTATGTCAGCGTTAGGTTTAGCAAAATTCATGCAAGACATGGACAAGCAGCAGGATACTGCTTTGGAAAATGGCAGAAGCCTGTTGTTAGCAGAGTTTCCTGCTTTTTGTTTTAATTCTTTTTAAGGTGTGTCTCTGTTCCTGTTTTCCCTTTCTGCCTCCTAGCAGCCTGGGGTTGTTTTGCAAGAATGGACTTACATATTTGGTACTAAGGATTTGTTTTAATAGTTTCAAGTTCAAGTGTTTGGGTACTAATGGCTTTGTTGCTGCATTTTTGTTAATTTGTTGGCAGCTCATCATTGCACCATCTAGAGCAGCTGGGAATACTACTTTCAAATGTAACCAGGTGTCTTACTCTCATTTTCATTGGGAAAAAAAAAATATATAAAGTGCTTTTTTAATGGTGAATGTCTTTCAAAGCCTCAGTAAGACTTACAGCTTAGTTGTGTTAGAGTAGGCTCTTTTATATCATCATCACCAAGGTGTGTCATAATAGCGCACTGGGCTGTGTTTCATTTACATGACTATGGGATTCTTTTCAGCTCCTCTGACTGGTCGTTACTGTATGACCTTGTGCAAGTGCCTCAGTAGCTGTCACACCCTTGTCTTTTTGAATAAAAATATTGCATATATTTGCAATATAATTATCTATAATAACTCAAAGATCTTCAGCCTGCTACATGAAGTGTCATCTTAATACAATGAGTTCTTTATACTCAGCTTCATCTTTTCTGTTCTCATACTTTTACTGATTTGCCAGTCCCTTTAATCTGAGCGTAGGCCTCATTCAGTAGATGTTGACAGTAACAGTGAAATGCGTTAAGTCACTTTGTCTGTGCGTATATATAGGATAAAATGGCCATTCCTGAAGAATTCAAGAGCAAGGTGAAATGTTTGGAGGTGTGTTTGCATAGATAGCTGCTCCGTTTTTGCTCAAAGCCACCCTTACAGATAGAACGGGATATCTTCAGGTGCAGCAGACTTCCAATTTGACTTTGTCAAAACTCATGTGTTCTGACAATGCTTTTCTTTCTTGTGATTTGTCTTTAAATGGAAGTCACTAACTCGCATGATTTTCCCTTAGTGTTTTAATAAACCGTTTCACTTTATAAACTGCTACTTGTCAAAGCATCACAAACGAGTATAAACATTAAATCTCCCCACCTTTCTGAGGTGCAGGTTGCGTTCCTGTTCTATAACTGGGGCGAATGTAAGGGCGGTGTTGTCAAACTTGGGGTTCTAAAATTATTGTTTTAATTATGAATTGCAATTGGAGTATTTATACGTTCTTAAAAAGGAGTTGAACCGAACTAGAACATCTTGAAAATAAGCAAGAAGAACGCATTAAACTTCCCTTTTTTGGGAGGGAAAGCGCCATTTCAGTAGCATTGTGATCGCTTGCTTAGTGTATTGCCTAGGATGGAAACTGGCAGACTACTGTTTTTGGGAGTTTATGTATTCCACTTAAAAAGCTCACCTAAATCATTGAAATTATGTACCTTTTAAATGTCTTTAACACAGATTATCCTATAAGGTTATTCTTACCTGATGACATTTTATTTCCCTTTCAGGAGCTGGCAGGATCTGGCAAGAAGGGGTTTTATGAAGGTCGGATTGCAGCTGCTATTGTAGAAACAGTTCAGAGACGCGGAGGAGTGATGGATTTAGAAGATATCAAAAGCCACACCACCGATGAGGACAAACCAATTTTCACAAATTACAGGGTATGTGGACAGTTCTTTCCCTGAGACTGGCTGAGCTTGTGGCATATTTTTTATTTTAGTTAGATGCACCCCACAGCCCTACACAACTTGGGCTGTCAAATGCGTGTACGTATGCATAAATAGATGTCTTATGTGCATTAATAACCCGGTTATATGTCCGTACCTGTGGCTGTTAGGCATGCAGTGTTATAGTTGCTCATTAGCTGTGCGCTTGCTATTTGCCTGTAGAGATTTAAGTGTATAAATCTGATATAGTAAAATATCTTTCTTTTTTCTTTTGGTTAACTAATGAATTTAAAACTTAAATTTAGACTTCAGTGTAGACATTGGTGATATTTGTGGATGCTTCGGTTTGTTAGCTTGATTCAAATGCATCAACATGCAAAAAAACCTGCAAACGAGTGAGCTTCTAAGAAGTAGAAAAGTACTGGAGTAGTGGAAAATTAATATTTTTAAAGAAAATTAGGTGTAGTTCACAATGGGAAAGAGAGAACTTCTCTTGTTATGCTTCCATAGCTTTCTGAAAGAGTCAGAACTTTTGTAGAGCTGCTTTATTGTTGCTGGGAGAGAGAGGGGAAAGTGTTGGACCAGAATGAGAGTGAGAGAGGTCAGTTGCCTTGAGACTTTTTTTCCAAAGACATTTATCTAAATTTCTGCTAGTAAACATCTCCTTTGTACATGGCAAAGCAATTTTGTTGTAGATTCAGAGTGGGTGTAGCCAGCTTGCCTGATAAGCTTTCTCTGATAGGTTTTTTTTCAAAGTAGGAAGCAAAGGGGCGTTTGGCCAAGAAATGAATCCCTCTCCTTCAGGTATTGAATGTAGTCAGCTCTCTGCGCACGTTCTGATACCTTCAGTCTCTCCCGAAATTTCCCACTGAATTTTCTCCAAAAATTAAGATAGATTCTACTAGCAAAAGCCTAGTGAAATTGCTGAAACCAGGTGCAGAAGCAGATGTTTGTGGTTTAGGCACTTTACTGAGTTGAAAAGAAGCATTAGGAAGGAAGGGCTCTCTCTTTCCCCATCTCGAAGATGTTTTTCACAACGTAATACTGTATAGTGCACGCTGGTTTTCATTTGTTTACAGTTGCTCATATCCCTTTGTTTCATACTTCTGAGCAAATGTGAAAAATTGAGATTTCCCTGCTAGTTCCTCTCAAGGAACATTTCCTTTGTCCTACTACCTGTTCTTGCGCCTTGACCAGATGAGCATAATGAAAACGCTGGCCGGTGGCTTCCCTCTTTCTTTCCTTCCCATGTGCTTCAGTGTTAGCTGAAATATTCTCCACTGCTTTGCACCATGAGGCCACACTTGGACCTTCCTGTCTTTCTAGCTCTGCGTGTCTACTTTAAGCTGTTTTTGCCTTTATTTTGTCTGATGAACATCTAGGTGGGAATGTTATGAGGGATCAAAAGCATGTGCTGAATAAGGTTATATATTGCCCTGTTAAGGAAAGTCTTCAGCCTCCAGAAACTCTTACGGCCTTCATGCGGAAACCTTTCTCTCCTTCCTGTTACCCCTGCAGTCTCGTGTCGTGACTTTGAAGCTCTTACTGTCCTGATGACACTGCCCATCTGCTCTGGCTCTTGCGCTATGTAGGCCATAGTATTCTTCGAAGGGTTCCTGTGCTCGTTCGGCCACGTTAGGCTGACAGCGGTTGATAGGAATATACTGGGTTTTGGTTTATTGATTCAAATGATGGGAAATGTGCTGCCAGTCTTGATGGTCTGTACTCAGTGGTTATTTTTTTAATACTTAATACAGATTTTTTTAATACTGCTGACAGCCCTTAGAAGTGATTCTTTCTTAGTGCTGGTAGAGTTTGGTGATGCATGTAATGGTGTAGAGATCAATATTTTCCTGTTGTTAGTTTTTAAAAAGGAATAAATACTGAAAATTTAAGGCAAAGATTTTTTGTAGAGAAACCTGTATTTTCTTGACTGTCCCAGACATTATCCCTGACAATGTGCCATTCTGTCACTTCTACCAACAGTTGTTACAACATATATTATTTTTTCCATTATTCCATTGTTCCTATAAGAAAATAAAACATTAGTCTGTTAAGTTCTACAGAATCTGCTGGGGCGTGTGATACACAGGGCTTGCTCCTAAGTCATTTTTCAGATGGAGTGCTTTTCTGCAATAGGTAAGGATAAGGTGGGTAATAGGATATGACCGTATGTATAGGTATAGCCTCATAAGTATTATGCATAGAAAAGCAAAGTTGCATTTTGGATTTCTGGCTGATCAGATGTTCTAGCTTTGCCTAGTTATACTCTCTAATTCTGTTCATAGTTGCTAAAGCTCTTATAGTTCTGTTTTATGCTGAGAGTGTTATTGAAAAGAGAGTTGGGTTGCAGAACGTGTGAGAAAAGGGAAGGTTCGTGTTCTTGCTAGGGAAGACGTTACTGCTTGCGTTGTCTCAGCAGGTAGGCCGGCGTACTCTGCACACCCACCGATTAGACACAGTAATATTTTAATGCGTCTCACCCCCAAGAGTAAGCATTCCTTCTAATCCAGGTCTTACAGAAAAAAGTTATTAGTCATGCAGCGGCACACCCCTAGCCTGTTGAGCAATAGTTTTAAATATAGAAATGAGCAGATGTGCCCAGCACGGCTCACAGAGACGGTTTAGAAATACCTGGCTACGTGCAGGCCCAGGCCTGTAGCCTTTACTCAGGGAAACTTTGCAGTGACATCAATGGGAATTGTGTCCAAGTTAAGGAGCACAGGACAGGCTTTTAGGACTAATGGGCTGCCTGTTGGGTTAATTAACTTCCTGATTTCGAAGCAGGAAAATCTGTGTACTGGGTAATATTGAAAGCAAAACATCCAGATATTTAGCAGCTTTGGAAGCAGACATAGAGCTGTATGAGATGCTTGTAGGCTTAGCAAGATAATATGGATTATCTCAGTGTTAGGAGGAGATGTTTACTTTAATGCTCAGAAGGTGTAAGCCTGTGGTATTGGAAACGTTTGATTCATTTTTACACGTATTCTGCTGAGCCAGGGCCCAGGTTGCCAAGCTGATGTATGCTGGAAGAACCATGAAACTGTTTGATCTCTCTTGACGTGGTTTACGGCTAGATGTGGGAAGGGGCTTCAGAAGTGACATGAACTTGCAGCTGGGTTTCAGAGAGCCTGAGCTGGGAACCAGGGCTGCCCCCAGCAGGGCTGGCAGCGGCAGCGGCAGGGCTTCCGCTTGCGCTGGGTTGCACTTCACAGTAGCAGGTGGCTGCTAAGCTGGTTCCCAGAGTATGTGGTTGGTGGGGAGCAGGAGTGGGAAACGTCTTGATCCCATCAAAGAGAAAGAGGGAATTTAGGAGGCGGAGGCAGAACAGGACTCAGAGGCTGAACACCTTCCTTTCCCTCAAATGCCTTTTAAAAATGGTGCAGAGGTCACTGGTTTTGAAGCGCAGCGGTAGGTCGTTAGAACGCCTCCACAACTTGAGAGAAGTCGCAAGCCTTTCTCAGCCTCTGGAGATTTAAGACCACGTCTCCTACTCCGTGTGAAGCCCTTTAGCAGTAGCGAGTAGGCTGCTCTTGCTGGGAGTGCCTTCTACTTGATTCTTGTCTCATGTGCCACATGAGCAAGTAAGTTACTTTTCGAGTAACAGAAAAGTTCGAGACACCCTGGGCCTCAGAGAAGGAGCAGCTAGCCCAGGAAGTTGCATCCTGGTGATTAGGACTCTGACTGATAACGGTCGTCCAGCAAAGCAGAAGGTTAGGCACATACACATTTGGCAGGATTTACAGGGCATCCTCCGTCCCCTGGTGTCCCCTAATGAGCAAGCACTCTTGCGATCTAGGCTCTTATTCTTTTGGCAGGTAGCCTACAGGTCCAGTGCTGAAGGCAGAAGAGTCCTTTTCATGTTTCTGCGTGCCTCTCTCAAGCCTCTCTTTGCCTGGCGCATTCTGCTGCAGACAAATTCAGAGCTTTTTCAGCTCTTGGGAACACAGGGCAAAACCAAAGGCTGCAACATGACCCTGACCGCACCGAGCACTGAGTATCCTTCAAATGCATTATGAGGAATGTGTATCTGTAATCAATCTGCAGCTGAAATCTATTCGGTGTGAAAGCTCAAGACTTCATCCCGTGTAGAGATAACGGTATTACCACTGTCTAACACTGGCCTTTTGGCAGTGGGTTGCACTGCTGCCCAGAATACTGTGCTGATTTAAAATGGCCATATCCCATTCTAAGAGATGGAATAGGAGAAGCAAGGAAAGGCAGTGTCGTATTGTTGGGAAGTTTTTTCTTCTGTCCTGAAGAAATACCTGCCTTCTATGCTGTTTTTAATATAAATTTTTAATAATGTTCTCTTTTTAGTTGTTTCAAGCAGAAAAAAGTTGTTTTTTTTTTTTCTTCCTATAGGGTGTGAATGTTTGGGAAACACCTCCAAACGGACAAGGAATCACAGCTTTGATGACCCTAAACATTTTGGAAAATGTTGATGTTAAAGGTATGGCTTTTTGTCCAGTCATGAGTTTTGATAGTATGCATTTGTTTTTCAAGTCTGGCTGTATCCGAAAGTGTGATTTAGACACAGAAGAATGAATCTGTAAAAATTCTCAGCAATTTTCAGTTCTGAGGAAAATCTTCATTAAAGCCCAGTCAGAAGGCATGGCTTTGGTTTAAATAAACTGTACAATGGATAGTTTGGGTTTTTTTTTTTAATTATAATACATAGTAAAACAGAATTTTTTTTTGGAGAGAAGTCTTTTTAGTATGAAACACTTGTTATTTTTATGTGAAAATATTTTATTTTTGGGAATTACAGTGTAAGCTTCAAAGAAAATCTCTAGTATGGTTTAACTGATTTTTATAAACAGCCTTACACCTTTTCAGAATGCTTAGTTGTTAACTTCTGTGCGTTCAATGCTGTGAAGAATATAACTGAATCAGTACCTTAACTGCAATACATTTTTTGAATAATGTCTGGGGACACAGTGTTCTTTGTGCAGTAATGCTGAAAGTTTTGAAAGATATCTGGTAAATCTAATGCATTTGTTTTTTGGTTTTGCTCCTTTCAGAGATGGGTCATAATACAGCTGACTCCTTGCACGTGCTGATTGAGGCCATGAAACTCAGCTTCACTGATGCTTTCTCATTCTGTGCAGGCCCTGATGAAGCTCTGGTACCTACAAAAGAACTTCTGTCCAAAACCTATGCTAAAGAGCGTTCTCGACTAATAAATTTACAAAGGTATTTTTGTCTTTCCTTGCTTGCATTGATGGATTAGGCGTGCGAGTACGCTCTGTAATATTAGGAGGAGCTCAGTTACTGGAGATTCTCATTTATTTCTTTACATATGATGGTCTTTAAGACTTCCTACAGAATTACTCAGTTTGAAATATGTCTGCCTCTGTGTTAAATTTTTTGGCTCAAAAATGTGTTCATTTGTAGCCCATGTATACCATTTTACTTTCAAAAACTTTATCTAAAAGATGAAAGGCAGTAGTAGGAAGCAAGCAAATAACAATTGGTATATCATAGTATAGACTTGTTAGAAACAACTAGTCTGCACATTTTAAACTAAAAATGTAGAACTAGAAGAGCTGCACTGATGTCTTAGACTAATTTTAAACAAAATATTTTAAGATACTTGATTTCAAAAATAACCCCATAGTGACTGCTTGCTATTTTTCCCCTGCCTAAGCATAAGACTGAAGAATTAACTTGGATAGTCAGGGAACAGAGGGGGAAAAAAAAAAAGAGAGAGAGAGAGAAAATTTGCTTCCAACTTTTTATCTCAGTCAGTATGATCAGAGAACTGTGTGGAAGCTACAGCAAAACCCAGATTTACTGAAACTTTGTATATCTATAGGTGTCTGTGCCTCTTTCAAGTAATGATTTCTTTAGTCCTGGCTTCTGTCCCCCAGAGTCAGATAAATGCAGTGCCAACAGAGTCCTTCCCTTTGGCCCAGGGCAGAGGAGACGCCCTATCAGCTCTCGAAGATGGCTGCAGCACTTCGAAGAGCTCCGCCGTTCTCCATAGCAAACATCAAGGCTCTGAATCTCTGCCTCCAGCTGAGAATTCAGCGTGGCAGGAAACGCACTCTTGTTTGTGAGTGTGTGGAGTGTGTGGAGCAGAAAGCGGGCGGTGAATCCAAGAACAGATGAACGCTGCAGTAGAGCCTTCCAAACACACACTGCACGTGGTTCTGCTTCCCTACCAGCTGGTCTTTAACACTGATCATTGTATTCAGTGTTTTGTTTCATTAGTGAATTAGAAGGGCAGAAATGAGATTTTGGATGGATGAAGTTTGCAGTCCTGTCAAACTCGGGCTGTTCGTGCTTAGCAATGTCTTGAGTAGGGAAAAGACATTTTAAAATATTTTGTGCAATGCTTATCTTACTGAAGGAAAATGACAAAAGTCCAAAGAGCACAGTGATTACTCATGCACATGTAGAAATTCCCATGTGTGTGTAAGTACCAGTGTGTGTTAGTCTGTTTTTGTGTATTCTAGATAGATGTGTTTACTTTAATTTATTGGCAGGATTGTGTTTGAGCTTAACCAAATATTATTGGCAGGATTGTGTTTGAACTTAACCAAATATTAGTTATAAAGTAGAAATGCCATATTGATATAGGCATTACGTGGCTATGAGAGGACTTTGGATCCATCCAGTGCTTTATCTTTCATATCATAACATCTGTCATTTCAAGGCAACCATCTGAAACTTGGTATATCATGTTTAGTTCACATTATGATTTAGTTTATCAGTTTGGATTAACTCTCCTTAAATTTTCTCCAGTTTTGTGCTAGTATAAGGAGTCTAGACTAATTGAGCTCTTTGCTTTAATAAAGCAAGTGTGGATTAGGATCATATTCTTGCATTTGTCTATATGAATCTCCCCTCTGGTTCCAGTAGGGTGGTTCATGAGAGGGGCTGAACTATGTCTTGTAGGTGTGCGGTGGCTTATTTTTAACTGACCTACATTTTTGGTGCTTGCTAACGCTAATATTTTCTGTGTTTCAGAGCCAGTGACAAATTTAGTTCCGAAAATGTTTTGCCATTAGGAACAGATACAGTCTCCTTCATTGTGGTGGATCCTCGAGGCAACGCCTGTTCTTTCATCAATAGCAAACTACATGGGCTTTGGTCCAGGACTGGTACCAGATGGCTGTGGATTTACTTTACACGTGAGAAGATATTTCCCAATATAGCATGGTCTAGTATGTGTGAAGACTATTTGGGAAGATGATCGGAGAGTCCAAGCTGTGCTCTCCTTTCAGGAGAGGATAGGATAGTTAGTTTTCGGATGTTCTTAGTGTAATAGTCCCTGTTCCCCCCCCCCCCCCCCCCCAATAACAACAAAGCCTTCTTTGTGCGAGAGGAGCGCAGGGGTGGCGTTCCAGCCTCTTTTGCACGCGTTCGTGTCCCGTGTAGCGGATGCGAGGTTCCAGGAGAGACGACTGGCTGAAGTCGTTTGTTGGCTGAGTGCCCGAGTCCAAAGAGAGAGGTTGTTGTACACCTTTACTTGCCTCGGGAGGTCAGCCTTGTGTCTGTACAGAACTGCATGAAGGCAGTGAAATTATTTTTGGGGTGCTGTGACCATAGCTGAGCCTTTTCTTAAGGCAGGGGAAGATAGCAAGGTCTTCCGTGGCTGTCAGAGTGCTTAAGAGTGCCCGCTTCAGCAGTGCGGGGTTGTTACATCACGGTGACAACTGTGTAACTTGCTTGTATAGAACCTTGTATACCGCTGGTGGTGATAACATTGAAACGGACGTTTACAGAGAGGGGGAAAAAACAAAGAGTTAGGAAGTTTGTTCTGCGTCCTTTGTAAGGTGAGCTTGGAAACTATAGTTCCTCGTTTTATTTGGAGGGAGAAAAGCGGAAAAGACTGATGTTTCTTGGATTACTGTTGTATAACCTTTGTATCAGTTAAACACTCCTGTGGGACTGGAATTTGTTCGGTTACATGCTTTTCAAAATGGGGAAATTCTTGTCCTCGGTTTCTTTGCTCATCTCCCTGGAGATGTTCTGTTGCTATATATATCCCCCTCTTCTTTTTCCTTGTTTGCTCCCCTTTTACACGGATAGAGGGGTGGCCTGAAAACTGAGCAGAGCAGTTTACATGATTCTCTTTTCATCCAACATAATTAAAAGCAGGATATATTTTTTTAACCATGAAATGCAGCAGACATTGCACCCGACCACTCATTGTCAAAGACCAATAGCAATAAAGGTTTGGCGTAGACAGTAAGTTCTCAGACTTTGTACTTGAGGAAAAAATTAATCTCAATATTTATTGCCTTGTCAATTTTCATTCATTCAGAGTCCTGAAATAACAAGATTGAATTGCTAATTATAAACTTTAACAGCATCTGAAATGCGCACGTTACGTAGTGGTGTACTATTTAGACATTTTTGCATCAATGTAATTTTTGTAACTGAATTAATCTATCTTAGTCTGCAAAGAAGTTCTGTCTTTTTGTGAAGAAAGTGGCTTCCTGCAAAAAGGAAAATGCCAGTACATATTTCTTTATATTTGAGCAGTAGGTAGTTAATTGCTGTTGTATGTGTAAAAGTCATCATGTCGTGCAGGCCGTAAAGTTGTACTTCTTTCCCAAAGAATTTCCGTACAGGTTGAATGAAAATGTGTATGTAATATATAAGCCTTTCGTATGTACTAATCAAAAACATCAACACCTTCTGTATTTAGGATAGTTAACACTCTGTGTGAAGCTGGTCTGCAATTTTTTAACTCTGCTTATAGAGTTAAATAGTATAAATAGTACTCTTAAAATAAACAAATAAACAAATAAAAGTTAAACACATTTTCCCCCATTGAGCATTTTGCAGGCTGACCTCAGTCCTGCCTGCTTCTCAGTACAGTCAGGGACACCATGTGCCACCTCACATGTCATAACTGCAGACTAGCTGATCAGGTCAGTCTTGGTGACTGTCATGAACAATTGCTGTAAACTGTGTTCTTTCAACCAGATAGATGATACTTGATGATCTCATCAGTTTTGTTATGGAAGGTATATTATGTTTTTTTTGTTTTTGTTTTGTTGTTCCTCCAGAATAGGGGAGCTAATTTTTCCCTCTCTAGCAGCCACCTAAACTGTCTTGCACCAGGGAAACGTCCGTATCACACTATCATGCCTGCCCTAGCGACCGCTGCAGACAGCGAGGAACTTCTGTGCTCCTTCGGAGTGATGGGAGGGTTCACGCAACCCCAAGGACATGCGCAGGTAACATTTGATTTTTGGCCATCCGTTGACAGATGGAAGGTTTCACAGCTTTTACTCTGGAGAGTTGATTATTGCAGAGCTCTCAGGGCAGGCTGTAGAAGCCTGCAGTCACGCTGCGCCCGCCTACCTTGATCTTTGTGTATTGATGCTTGATCAATTGAGGTGTATTTGCTAGTGTGTTTGTTTATTTTTTAGTGTTAAAGAAGGAGGCACTGAATCCCCTTATTGGTAAATATGAGATAGCAGTTGCAGAATATTTGTGGAAACAAATTCACACCCACAGCTCTAAGAACGGTGCTTTCCCAAAGGGAAATTTGGGGAGGAAATGTGTGTTTCTCTTCTGTTTGGTTACTGCTGTGGAATGTGCTAGTGATGCACAGAAAATGTAAGTGAGAGGGAGGAGAAGATGATGCGCCAGAGCTGTCTGAAGGATTGGATTCCTTCATCAGTTAGAATGCAAGATGGAGACTGTAACCACTACTGTTACTATTTTTGCACTCTCCTTAGGTGCAGTCATCTCTCTTCCGTTCAGTATGCCTATTGATAGTCCCTGGTGGTAGAAGATGGGAGGTAACGCAGGCTTGCAAACGGTTTTAAAAATACATAACCAGAGCAGATATGGTGAAGAGCTCGATTACTCTTTGTCTGCTCTTTGTGCATCTGTCTTACTGCAGTAATCCTGTTCCTGTTTCCTTCCCTTCGTGGTGCTCCGAGGGGCTGCAGGAAAACGCTTTTTCCTCTACAGCTGCTGTTGTATCTTATATGAGCATTGCCTTTCCTGTAGAGTCTGGAGGTATATTTTCATCAGAGTATAGAGACTCGAGAGTAGGACCATATAGGACATAGGAGCAAATTTCTGCTTCCTCAGCCTCTGTTTCCAGTCATTGACAAGCCCTTGACTTGGTAAACATTAAGGTTTCTGCATGAAACGTCTGCAAGAAAAGAAAATCAGGCCTCTAAAATTGAATTTAAAATATAGTTTCCACAAAGACAGCTTATTTGCAGATCAGCAGGCTTCCTACAAAGGGTCAAAAATATTTCACGAGATGAGTTGTTTTATTATACACGGCCTACCTTATCGTAGAACTTTGCTTATTCTTTTTGAAGGTGCTGCTAAATATGTTGGTGTTTGGGATGAATCCTCAACAAGCCTTAGATGCAGCCCGGTTTTGCTTGAACTATTCCAAGGAAGGTATGATCTTAATGTAATGCTTGCAGAGTAAATCGTTAGGCAAGGAGTTCCCGATCACAGTACGGATATAGTGGCGGAAGTGATTGTGAGCACCATGCAACAGCAGTTCTCAGCAGCGCATGTGTATGTCGTAGAGAACGGGTGGTTCTGTACCCAAGTGCTTACCTGCTGTTGCCAGGCCTACTGATAAAAGTAAAGGAGCATTCTGCTTGCTAGAGCATAATCTATCTGAAATAAAACAATTTGTCTTTGCAGTGGAATGGAGTCTCATTCTTGTGATGGTCTTTTATATGTATAAATACATATAAATATATATATATATTCATTGCCCATAATTCATATGCTGGCTTAATCAGCAGCGCGGTTGCGAAGTCTGCTTATAAAGGGCTGTGTAATGTCTTTGTGATTGCAGTGGTTCCACAGGACGCATTCTAATTTTCCTTCAGCCTGTTGCGTGCCCCTGAGTAGCTCTCAGTTAGCACAGCAGTAAGCCCTGTGACTTCACCTTAGGGCACAGTATAATTGGTAACATCTTGGGAGTGGTTGGAGTGTAATACAAAAAACAATCCCAGAGATGTTTTGCCTGACGCACAAATGCTATTTTTGGCATGACTGAAGTTTCCTCAGAGACGGTGCCTTTTTTTTTTTCTTTTTTTTTTTGGGGGGGGGGAAGAGGGGGTTATCACATCATTCAGCTCAGCTAATAGGGAAGGGCTGTGATTTTTGTCCTCACCTTTTGAGGACGTTTCTTTTTCTAGTAATTTTTTTGTTTCCTCTATCTTCGTGCTTGGAGAGCGCAAAGACAGGACTGCTTGTTACCTACTGTGAAGATGTGTAAAAGAAGGAAGCTGTCCTGCTTCCTTTTCTGACTTACCATGTGGTAGCCCTCTTCCTGGTAGATCTCCCTTTTGGAACCAGCACCTGAACCAAATTCCACTCCCACTGAAGCCTTTGTGGTTTGACTCAGTGGGGATGATGCTTGAATTCTGTTCCTATTAATTATTGCAGAGTGTATTATTCTTGACTCAGCTGTTACTGAGCACTCTCTTTTTAGGCAGAAGGCAGGTGGCATCTGTCACTTGAAGACGGTGTTTCACGAGCTGTTGCAGAAGAAGACTTGAGAGCCAGAGGTCACTGGAGCCGGTGGCCCATCAGTGGGCACAACAGGAGCCTGTTTGGTTGTGGCCAGATTATCGCTAAAGGGGACTGGTGGCAATCTTGGGGCTCTGCGTCCTCCAAGCACTTGCAGACCGTGCTGTGGGCAGGATCTGACCCCCGAGGAGATGGCTGCGCAATGGGGTACTAGCCTGGAACGAACATGTGTGTAATGCTGCAACGTTAATTTTCCTGTGTTGGTACACTGATGACATTAATACGTAGTTGCAATTATAGTTCAAAAGAATATAAAATTCCTTCTAATTCAGGGACCAGGTCATTTCCCATCCTCCAAACCAAAGTGTAGTTCGTAGGAGTGGCACTGCATGTGTGACTTAGAAGGTTCTGGTGGCAGGAGTAGCAGCACTAGAGCACCCTGTGTAGTACAGGTACCATCTATTCCCTTAAGAAAGAGACGTGACTAAGAATGAGTGGGGAAAAACAAAATCAGGTGTTAAGTGTTCCTTTTCTTCTACTTTTCTCCATTACATGCTGCTCAGATTAAAAAGGATCTTTTCTATTCTGATTTTTCTTTGGTAGTTTTTTAAATTAGTTTTGATTAATGTTGTGTTGCTACATTCATACAGCGTTTCTGAGGTGTTGATGCGCCTGGCAGAGGAACATCACTGCGAGAGGAGCTGGCTATATGATTGACAGCTGTTTTAAGGATCAGCTTGCAGTAAAAATATAGTGCACTGAGTGTATACGGTTAAATGAACTTCAGTGTTGTGATTTAATGCTTAATGAAAGGGTGGGAGTACAGTGTAAAAAAAATAATCTTGCAAGGGTCTTGTGCTTGCGTCTGATTTGTTCTTCTGCTTGCAATGTGTGCTGTCCAATGAGTACTGATCCTGAAATATTTGCAGGCAAGTGGTGTGCAATATCCATCGTAAATCCATCACGATAATATGAAAGATTTGTCAATTCTAACGCTAAACTTCACACGTGACTGCTATTCAATCAACACACTGACTGTTCCTAACCAAGCAGTAGTTGTGGGATTATTCAGCAAAAATAATTTTGAAAGTTTTTAACTGGCATGAGTTTAACTAATGGCTAATTCCAGAGATGAGACTGCATGAACAGTGCACAGAGCATATGCTAGTGAAACGAAATGGGCAATTGGACTGGATTTTTTCATGTTTTTTTTTTGTTTGTGTGGGCTTTTTGTTTGTTTGTTTGTGTGTGTGTGTGTGTGTGTGTTTGTTTAGCCTACGGATGTAAAATCTTTGCTATGATAGAGGTCTTCTGTCTTTACTAGATAAGAGGCTTAATGACTGACTTTTGCACCACGAGAGCCAATTGAAGACATCCAATTCTGACATGTCAGTTTTTTGCTCCAGGTTCATTGACATGTCGGAACTGGATGTCTTTTATTGGATGTCCGTTTTAGGCATATTGCTGCATATGGAGGGGCACAAAAGTTGCATGCTTTAAGCCTAGAAACAGCCTCTCCATCATGGTGTTCTGGGCAGAGATATGTACGCTAGGATAATGCCAGTCTTCTGATTTGTACCGCCGCTGCACATAGTATAGAACAGGGTATGCTTATAGTGCAGGGATGGTAATGCTTTCTGCTTGTGCTCCTTTTCCAAAGATATAAAAATGTTAGGGAGAGAATACAAATATAGAATGTAAGTCTGTGTAAATATTACAGTTCAGGAGAAACAAACTTCAGCTGGTTGTTTTTTATAGCCGAAGCTTGACTCGCAGGGCTGTGACAGAAATAGGAATGGATGTTTTTCCCCAGTGTCCTACTTTTATCATAACAACGTTGTTGCAAGGAGTAATGAATGTGGACAATGTCATGGTTTTTAAATGCCACTAAAGAACAGGTTCTTGAAGTGGTTTATTTGTTTGTTGAATGAGGTTACAGTAGTGCTGCGAGTCCCAAGGCAATAATAGTTGCTCTTAAATTAGGATTATGGGCTCTTCTGTAGCGAGAAGAACTTCCATAGACTCATTTAGTGGTGTCTGTGCCATTGATTGCACACGCTTGTGCATCTCCAAGCTGGTTGGTTTAGTGTCAAAACTACTTTTGTTGTATCATTGCTGACCACTTCGTGGGTCAACAAAATTACTAATAAATTAAATTTTCCCTGTATGTGTTCGTGTGGTAGTTTTGTGTGGTGTTGTATGAGAGCGTGAGCAGCAGAGCTCTGCCACTTGCTACAGGCTGGCTTCTGAGCGGTAGAAGAGCTTCAGTTTTCTGTCTTAGACTGAAGGCAGAGAGAGCAAGCAAGCACATGGCTGTGTGTCACAGCTGTAGAAAGAGTGATTTTGTATTCAGTGATCTGTGTCTTTGCGACAGGTGGTGGCCTCCTCCACAGAAGGAGATAATTAGTTCATCCAAGGAACTGTCATGTAATTAGTAGAGGTAATGTGGAAACTTTCTTCTGGCTGTGGGCAGGGGCCCATGGGCACGTAAGACTTAAGGGGAGCAGTTTCCTATTGTGACTGTCTAGGTGGGGTTTGCCGATTGACATGCCCCTGTGGGGTGGAGTGGCCGAGGCCAATTATAGCTACAGCATTGTGTTTTTGTGGATTATGCCTGGAAAACATGAGCAATGCATCATTGGGACGCTGAGGAGTGGATGGTAGACATGCATGGGTGTTTCTCCATTCGATTAAAGGGAAGTTGTGGGTGGATTCCTGTTCCTGAGGTCACGGGGAGTTCTGTTCTGAACGACTGGCCAGGACGCTTCCCTTCGCTCACAGGTGGCTGCCTACTCGTCATGCGTTCCCAGCACCTGTCTGAACTAGTGTTGGCCCCTGTAAGCAGTGACTTACCAAACAGTAGCAGAAGAACAAATGAGAATAATTTATAAGGGGATACAGGTGTGGAATCATGACCTGTGTCGGTACACGTGCATTGTGTCGCTCAGTTTTTCCAAATTCATCTCTGCAGTACGTGGCTACTATTTTCCAGACATTCAAAACCTGCCTGGACAGGGTCCTGGGCAAGCTGCTGTAGCTGACCCTGCTTGAGCAGGAGGGTTGGACCAGATGAGCTCCAGAAGTGCCTTCTAACCTCAACCATTCTGTAGTTCTGTCTCACCTTCAGATGCCATCCGGTTACCACATCCTGTCAGCGCTTCCACGGGAGGTACTGCACCCCCATCAACCCTTTCCTAATGGTGGGTGGGACCAGAAGCTTTACAAGAAAGTGCAATAAAAGCTAAAGTAAGAAAATTTCTAGTTAGAAATTGTACAATCGGGTATCCAAAGGGCAATGATATTTGTAAACACAGTTGGTTAGCATCTGGCTAGTTTTTACGATGTAAGAAATTTTTATTTGCTTCAAGGTTTTCCTGTTTGAATTGTTTTTAAGGTAATTGGAAGGAATTCATCTGTCGTGTGACGATTTCAATTGTGTCTCTTGATGACTATTGTATCTTTTAGCAGGCAAGGTCTAGGTCTTGCAGTAAGGCTGTGTAAAGCAGCAGGACTGACCATTTGGAGCATAAGAAGAAACTTGCTTTTGAAAAGAAGCACGTGATGCTTTTCAGGAAAGAATGACATCTTTCTACCTTCCTGCAGCTTAAATTTAAGCGAGGAGATTGCTTAGACTTAGTCAGAAAACAGTGATGGCGGAGGAAGCATCTGTTACAAACATTTTATTCCTTGTCTGCATATAAGCAATGGAGAAGTCGGGGTGCGGAGGGAGTGATAAAATACTAAAAAGATGAGCTACGGCTCAGGATTAACACTGGGGATTTAGGATAGCTAGCCCATAAAATCTTATTTCCATGAAGGGGACAGCAGCCAGTCTATGTCCTGTCCACATGCGAAAGAACTAAGGAAGGAGGGTCCTGGGGCTTCCTTGGATCACAAGAGCCTTGCAGCATGCCCACGCGACAAGCTCCAGCACAGCAGCCCACCAAGTCTCCAGCAAGGGAAGCTGAGCCTAGTCTGTGCGACTCTGTTCTTGACATCATGCTGACTCTGCAATGGCGGGTCTGTCTGACCACTTCTCTGTTTGTTTTGCAGGCTATTTTTTTTTTTGGTCTGTGATCGTACTTAATTTTCTTTTTAACAGGGAGCATGGGTGTTGCCAGCATTACTGTGGGCATTAAATTACACTGGTAGAGTTCAGAGGTCCCCTTTGTTTGTATGGTACTTTTCTTTGCTGCTGTTTTTTAGGACTCGGTTTCTTCTGTTAATTCTGACTCATCACTTAGGAGAGTCTTGATTAGAGCAGAGGTGCTAGATGTGGTTGCAGTTGGAGGAGCAGGGGCAGAAGGTTGGAGAATGCACAGCTTTTCCAAGCTTGGAGGTACAGAGAGCTCTTCAGATATTTATGAGCTATCCCACTTTTTGGCATCAGGAAACACTAGTCTCTTTCTGACAGCTCTATTTTGTGAAAGGAGCAGGCTTCCCCACGCCCGTTGCAAGCAAGAGTCAAAGCAACAGTGACTAGTTAAGTTTTTTGTTTTTTAATAGAGGAGATGCAGGATCCTGGGCCCCGTGGGAAATTAGGCTTGTTTCTAGGTACTTCATCCATTGGGCGAGGCACCTAACTTTAGCCACAGTTCTCTGTGGAGTGAAGGGTCAGTGTCCTGCCCCGTGTAGCACTGTGTCCTGCTGACAGACTTCATCCTGGAAAACAGATGAGTCAGGGATGAAGGCAGTTGCTGTAATCGCTTTGTAAATCAGCCCTTCTCCCAGGAAAGGTTTTGGAAGTCTCTCACAGTGCTGTACCTTACAATATGCTATGAGGACTGCTTCACTGTAAAACAGGTCCAGGATTGTTGAGGAACAAGAGGATGCTTCACTGCCCCTTTTGTACGTCCTGCACTTACTGTGCCACACTGCAGTAGGTGCTTCTCAGCCAAAGCTGAAGATTAGTCTAAAGTTAGGCTTTAGCCTAGAATTAGACTTTTATTATTGTCTCCGTTATCACTGGGTAATAGGTTGCCTTTTAATGTGTGTTCTTTCTTCAGGGCAGACATCAGAGCTACAGGAATAGTCCTATAAGAGAGGAATGGTGGTTTCTCGTGGGGAGTTGGGAAGCACCTGTGAGTGAGTAAGTAATTGCCTTACCATTGTAAGCTTAAACACTACAGTTCTTGCATGGAAGAATCAAGAACTGATTTAGATTTTGCTTACTAGTTTACTACTAAACTCTGCCATCTCACGGTGCTCGAGCCTGTTGTGAAATGCAGTTTGGGCACTGCTGTTCCTCTGGTCACTGAGAAGCTTGCGTTTGGCCCCTGCCTGCATGCGGGTCACTTTCCTCATTTGAAACTCCGCTTGCCATCACAAGCCTTTGCAAAAATGTACTGCTGCTCGTTGCCTGAGCAGTAAATTTGCAAGGCAAAGGGAAACGGGCGTGGAGAGGTGAACAAGCACAAGACTTTTGTAACCTACGTGGTTATTCTGGACAGAGATCTGAACTATTATTTTACTGGGTTTGGGTGTGGTGGGGTTTTTTTTGGGGGGGGGGAGGGGAAATAAGGGACTATTTCTCTGTATCACATCTGTTAACAGATCAAGTGTTGTGTTAAAGGACAGTAGCTGGGTGTAGCTGGGTGTAGCTGGCTAGGGAAAGCAGAAGAAATGCTTAGCTGGCCATCTGATCAAACGCTTGATTTTTCCCTCAAAGAGGGTAAGAGCCTTGGTTTTGACCAGCCTGTTAATGGCTTCAGGGAAGAGTATTTAAACACCAAAACTCTTCAGCACATCAGGGCTTTTCAGGGTATCTCAATCTTAATTCCGTTGTCTGGAAAAAATCAGTTGGCAACAAAATTGGTTTTACATATAGGCAGTTCTTGATAATGTGAAATTTTACCTCTGAGCAAATGTTTGGAAAACAGTTGTGCAGGTTATAAATAGAACAGATGTTTAGATCGTCTTTCCAGAGGCTGTATGTATTGTTTTGTTTTAAGCATAACGCAATGAAGGGAGTTTTCAGTTGAGGAGCCATCTCCTTCTGCAGAGGAAACATGCAGGATGGTGTTTATGCTTGGTTTATAGTCATCAAAGTTGAAGTACACAATAATGTTAAGCCTGTGTTTCTACAATCAGAGGATATTTCTCATGATGAAGGAAGTCTCCAAGGCCAACAGCCACAATACCCGGAGAGGTTACATCACAAATCCACATCTGTGCAAGACTACTCTTTTTTTTTTTTTTTTTCTCTTTAAACTTCGGTGTTGCTTGCATCACTTCCCAGAACACCCTGCTGAAATCCAGCATGTAAATCTAGTTACATGAGTGAAGTAAGCAGAATTTGATTTATAATTACACTGATTTACAGGGCTCAAGTTTACAATGTGATTAAGCTATAAAGAAAGAAACAAAATCCCCAAATGAGTACTCTCCCCCCAAATAACGGAAAGAGTTAAAGTCTTACTACAGACCTCAAATGTCCTGTCCACTTCCAAACTCAGTTTGTCCAGCTATTTTCTTAACAATGAGAATTGTATTAAATTGTGGTTGACGGCAGCAGCAATTTCTTCTGAATCTGCTCCGAGCTTGTGCGTTCCTCCGTCGTCTTCTATTATGTGATGGTCGGCACTGCGACGCATGCCTCTGTGTTGAGCTGCATGTGAAGGAGGAAGCTTTTGGCTATTTTGGCAACATTTGCCTGGGGGGGAGGGGGGAGGAAGGGGAAGGAACAGGCTAGACTTTATTTTTCCAGGTCACTTTGTATCTCCATTTGTTATGCAAATTAACCTTGCTGGTACATGTACCACAGTTTGGGAGCCCCTGATATAGCATATTTCTCTCTCTGATTTGTTTTGTTTTTCTTCTTTGTATTTTTATATTTGAATTTTCATTATAAAAACTGTATCTTATGTTCCCCCTTTTGTGGCAGTAAGTATTTTCCACCCATATTTGCTTGGTTTACCTTTAGATTAACAGCTATTAATCAAAATTCAGCTTGTCTTGCAATGGCAAAAACAAAGACACTCCTTAAGAGCATACCAGCCTATTTTGTTTGTGTTTTCTAACCTCTTGATGAGGTTTGCTCGTATTCTGTTAACCGGATAGCAAAGTGAGGGGTTGTTCTACATACTCCCCATTGCCGTAGATCTCACTCTGTTTATGCGTACTGAGAATCTGACTCAATGCAGTTGAAGTCAGCTGAGTCTTTCCCTGGCTTCAGGTTGTTCTGAATCAGTGTATAAACTTAAAAGTCAAAACTATTTCTAACAAAAAGAACAAAACCTTTTCCTTTTAATTCCTAAAAGCTTGTGTTGTGGTTTAAAGCTGTTGTTTATGTGTAATCATGTTCACCAGTCGTCATTATGAGCATCACACAATAAAGTGAAATAAATTATCCTGCCACTCAATATTTCCTTGACTGAGTCAAGGAAACAATTGTCAACAATTATTTCATTTAAAATGGGTGGTAGCGTTCTGCCATGCTTGTTCCCTCCTTCAGCATTTGGGGATGGTAGTCATGAAGACACACAAACGTCATCCAGGTAGCTAGGTAACCCGCAGTATTTAAGCAGGTGTGACTGAAGACCGATCTTCTTTTTGATTTAAACGGATATGAGATAGGCTGGATTGGGCTAGTGAAATAAGGATTTGTAAAGCTCAAGACATGTGTTTTGGAAGACGTGCCAGGTGTATTGGGTACAAGTTGCTCATCCTTGCCTTGCTCAGCATCGTGGCCAACATTTTGCTTTATTTTCCCAATGGTGAAACAAGATTTGCTTCAGAGCGTCATCTTAGCAAATATGTGGAATGCCTTCATGGCATTCTGGGTGGAGGTTTTTTGGTAAGTAATGAGCTACTGGTTTCTTTCTGGTGTCCTTTGGAGCTGTTTGGTATTACTCTGGCTTTACCCGTTACGTTAAGTGAACTGCATCAATTGATGCAGTTGTCAGCAGCAACCTCTGTGGCTTTGGAGTTGTATCAAAAGAAAATAGCTATATTGTACCATATATATTATTAGTTACTGCTGGTTATCACATCTGCAACATTGTGCAGCTTAGAGCTGAGAAAACTGTAGGGTCTAGATTGTAGGACCAAAATGCAAGATTGGTTGGATTCAGGCCCTTCAGTGGGCACTAATCACTTAGAGGGTCTAGTCTTACCTTTTTTTCCCTGTTACTGAGCTATTTTCCTATTAATGTCATATTAATGTCCACAGATTTACTAGTGTTTAGTTACAATTCCGTAATGTATATTATCTGAGATACCGAAAGACATCAATGATTGCTCTGTCCTAGCTGTTTATTCTGAGGAGTTGAGTAACAGTTATCAAAGCTTTGTATTACAGTAATGGCGAAGGATGAAGAGTTGAGCGTTTTCGTTATAGGAGTTGTTAATCTGGAGCAATTATGTTCTACCTTTTTAATGTTGTGGACCACACTGTAGCATATTTAAGTTTTCTGCTGGTAGGCTTCCTTTTTTATTTGCTTTTAACAGTCTTCCTAGAAATAGGCTAGAGATCTCCAGGTGTCTGCAAATCACAGGTTGAAAACCACTGCCTGATAAGGCCCTCTGTCTCATGAGGTGTGCTTTCGGCTGTGTACAGCCCCGTCGGAAGCTAGATTGAGCTTTACACCCAGAATAGTTCAGGTGAAATCAATGAAACTGCTCTTGGAGCACACGGTAGCACGCTGCTGTACAGCCTCTGCTGGACCTGCAGAACTGGGGCTCGGAGACAAGTTTGGATAAGGGCTGACAAGTACGTGATTCTGTTCAACTGGATAGCTTTTATTTTAATAGAGTGTAAAGTAAATCTAAGCAGTTCACAGATAACGCTTTCTTCTTTATGGTTTTCGGAGGTATTCTTGGGTGATAGCTGTACAGTGCTTTATAAGTGCGAACTAGTATGAAGTCCTGTTACTGCTGGCAGAGGGATACTCTGTTTAATCAACTTTGTTGTGTTTGTTGCTGCTTCTTGATTTTATGCCAAAAGCTCTGGAGTGTGGGGGTTTTACTTTCTTACAGTTAACTTCTGATTTGTTACTTTGCATTTCTGGCACTGGAAGCTTTGTGGACATGGAAACCTAGAAGCGAAATGTCTGAAATGAGATGCTTACCTGAATTGGGCAAAATATTCCCACGCTTTTTACTATGGTCGGACTGGTTTGTCACACAGACAGTGATCACTGCTCCTCAGTAACTGATGTGTTGGTAGTCGTCTTATTTTTCTAAGAAAATTATCAGAGTGTTAAACTTGTAGTTCTTTTTTGGCAGAAAATGAACACTGTCTTTGCAAAGCGTTTGATTTACAGGATGCAGCCCTTAGCGTGAACAAGAACTTTTGAAGTTGAAACTTCTCAAATTGCAGCAAAGCCACAGCATGTTCTTTATGGACACAGTCTTGCGCCAAGTGCTGTGTAAACACAAAGCAAAAATGGAAGTATACCTGTCTTGGTGCTGGTGATGCTGGGATCAGTAGGGAGATGCCTGTTGTGTTAAACAGGAGTACCCCCAAGAAGCAGTCTAAATGAATGCAAGATGAGGACCGTGTTTGCCCTGCCCTGTCTGTGCACCAAAACAGATCCAAGAGCGGTGTGATTTGTTTGCTCTGCACCTAGGTACTAATTCCAGCCGCGGTGTTCATTGGGCTCCACAGCGACTGCTGTGGGTGCGTTGGCCGTGAGGACTGTGGGAAGAGCTGTATGGTAAGTGCGCCTTTGCTGTTCAGTCCCAGACAGTCCCAAAGACAGGGTGACAGCCGTGTTGAAAGCTCACGTCCGTGTTTGCTGTGCAGATGCTGTCCTCGGTTCTGGCAGCCTTTGTTGGGATCCTTGGTTCTGGCTACTGCATCATCATTTCAGCTCTGGGCTTGTGCCAGGGACCATACTGCTTCACTACTGTAGGAAGAAACTGGGTCTATCCTTTCACTGAATCTTCTGGAGGGTAAGTAGTGTTCATGGGTATGTTTTATCTTTTGGTATGTACACATGGGGTTTATTCCAGTACCTTCCAGCAATTTCCAGAAACCCTAGACCGAGAGCCATTCTTAATGTTATGCTTCTCTTTCACTAAGAACAAAACACATGGGGTCAGAGTTACCCACGCTGCTATAGTTTAAAACCAAAGCAGTTTAAACCCTCTGTTTTACAAGAAGCCATCTGAACACGCTGATCAGTCACAATACGAAGTGTCAGATTCTGGAAGACTTACAGAAGGATGTTCTTAGTACGTCGTGGTAAGGATACTTGGAAATAGTTGAGGGATGTTTTTACCGAATGGGACCGTTACCTGTAGTATCTCAAAAAGCAGGAAGTTACCTGGTACGGTTACCTGTATGTATGGACCTGTACACCAACTACTGTTCACGGCCGTGAACATGTTTAATGTTAAGTATAAGGCTTTTAGGACTTTGTGAGGGTTTTGCAAACTATGAGTAGAGGTTATTATAAAACATGACTTTCCACTGCCATAAGAAGCTGTTTTGTGAGGCCTGCTTTTGAATTTGCTTTGCTTCAGTGCAAACTGGCATAATACCGCCACTAGTGACAGTGGTATAGAATCTAGGTAAGTGAAACTAGAAAAGGTTTATAGGAATCTTTTCTTTTCATGTAGTGCGCAAAGGGCCAGAGCCTCTTAATTATCCATAATTAGGGTTCTCTAGCAAAGCAAGCCTATGAGGCTGAGTCATATGCTATTCCTCATCAATCCCCACAAATCCTGTAGGTGAAGAGTATCTGGTTTGGATCATGACGTGCTCTTACAGTACCTATGTGGCTGGCAACCTCTTGAGGCTGTTTCTAATCATAGTTTATGGTTGCTGCCTGACTAGAGATGGTTTTGAGTAGGAAGCCACATCAAGGTTCTTTGCTATAGAGATTTTAAATTTTACATTTCAGTTACATTTCTTTTGAGAGGGAGCATTCTTTTTTATGTATTTTTTTATTTTATTTTTACTGCTACTGAATAGAGAAGAGCTATGTTAACTCCTTGCTGAAGGCTCATCAGTGCTTAAGACCTTACAACATGGGTGAGGAGCAGCTATGGGAATCTACTGCAGTGCTCTGCTGAATTTAGCCAGTGTTTGGTTATTCCAGACTATGCATGTGAGTGCCCAAAGGCAGCAGCACAAGGCGTCAAGAGAGGAAGTGATCCGTTTGCTTTGGATCAGTAATGGCTGTCTTTAGAATGAAGGTACAATCTTGAAAGGCTCTGTGCTTGTTTTGCGAAGTGGTTTGCTCTTTTAACTTTCCTGAGCTTGTCAAAAATAGAACATTCTGCCTTTATAGCTTAGATTTTGTTTTTTAAGAAATTAAGACTTAACAAAAAATTATGCTTGATAATTCAACATGTTCTTAAACAGGACAGGCTTTGCGTGGAATTGCGCTTTGTATTCCCACCTAGAGCAATTATCCTCAACGCAGTTACAATCTAGATCTAGTTTGGTTTCTAGTGTACATGAAGCACCCCATTAGCTATGCCCTTCTCTCTCTCTCTCACAATTTTAATATACTTTTAATTGGTATAAACAGGTACTTGCTCGAATACAACAAGTGGTCTCAGTGTCAAGAACCACGAAACATTGTACAGTGGAACGTCACCCTCTTTTCCATTCTGCTTGTCTTGGGAGGAATAGAGTTCATTCTGTGCTCCATACAGATAATCAGTGGCATTTTTGGAGGAATATGTGGGCTGTGCTGCAGTCGTGAGGAGGTGAGTCCTTTCTTCGGGTAATTATAGCTGTGGTTCTCAGATGGTGAACATGAAACACTATATTGTTGTGATGCTACAGCAGAGTCTTACTCAGCAGCTATTTCTTAGGCATCGTTAAGCACCAGTTCAGCGTGTGGCTTCTCTGTAGCCCTATTGTGCTGAGCATTTTCATGTAGAATTTGACCACATGCTTTTAGCTGATTGCTCAGCTGTCTGCAGTGAAGTTATTCTGCATATCATAGGTGATACGTGTTTCAGTTATGATTTATATCTCTTGGTGATGGTGTTCTTTGCCATAGCCCAAATCATTGTTGTGTAGCGTGATGCAGTTTTGTGGTAGGCTGCTTGTTCTAACTGTATTGCTTTAGCCTCATATTTTGCTTACAGCAGCTGGTAGGCTAGTGAGAATTTGCCCCCATTAATGAAAACTGCAGCATTCTGGCCTTGCTTAGTAAAACTAGGATAAGAGAAGGAATTTAATAACACAGTAGTAACTAAACCTGCAGGCAAATCTGCTGAAGTATTATCTATTTTTGCAGTGAGGAAGGGGAATTGCCTCCAAATTTCTTTAGAGTCTTGTTAAACGGTTTGAGCCTATTGCCAAAGCCAGTATCAGTGGTAGCGTTGGAGTTGTAAAGGCATAAGGTATGATTTATAGGTACAGGTATGATTTATAGGTACAGGTAATCATACAGGTATGATTTATATCACAGAGATTATAGCTGAGAATGTGTTCCACGTTTTCAGTTGTCACAGTTGAACATTATGGCTATTTCAAAGGTGTTACTGTCTTCTCCCTCCTGTCCTCTGTGCTGTACTTGGAGTATACAAGAAGCGTGCTATGGCTATGTAATATGATCAGCTTAATTGTAAGTCTTACAGTTGGACATAATGTTAGCATTCTTTCCCTTACTGTTTCTTTCTTTCTTTTATTTCCCTCACAGACATACGTTTGCTAGAAAACCTGAAAATGGGTTGAAGTTGGTGCATTTGTGATGTGTTGAGTATCCTGGGTTTTTTTGTTTGGTTGGTGTTTTTTTTTTTTTGGGGGGGGGGGGAGAAGGGGTGTGTGTTTTTTTCATATTGCATGCATTCTAGAAAGCAAGTTGTCTGTTGTTAGACTGTGCTGTCACCACCAACTTAACTGATCTGGGGCCAGTCTCTGCTGTTGGAATCATGTACAGGCTCTTCCCTGCATCTAAAGGCCAAATGTATCCTGAATTTCTTTGGTTCATTTCACCTTAACACAGACAACTGATTGAGCATGTGTGTCAGTATAAGTACTGGCTTTTTTCTCTACTGACACAACAGCCCCGTACTGTATGCTGCTTTGCCAATAAAGTTGTACTTTAATTCTGATGGTGGATTGAAGAGAAAATCAATCCGGTCTGGCCTAGAAATAAATGGATACTCACCTGGAGCAAAAACAAAGCAGCAGTATAAAATATGGATGACCAAGGGCAGGTACATGCACTTCTCCTTTTCAGGCGAGAGCTGGAAAAAAATTGCGATGCAATAAAATGTGGATTGTTCCGAACTTTTCCTGTGTTTAACAAATAAAGATTTGTATTAAAAATATCAAGCAAGTGTCAATGCTTCTTTTCCTGCCTGTATATTAACGCTGAAACACTTTTTCCTGGTCTGAGAGGAAAGGACAGTGGTGGCTTGAGAATGTGAATGTAAAGCTTATAACCCTCCTTGACCTCCAGCGGGCTCTGTCAGAGTGAGAATTGCTTCCCTCTCTGGTTGAGATCGCTTAGCTGAGCCCAGCAGCTGCGGCCGGCTGCCCAAGACTAAGATGTGCGCCAAGGAGGGTGCGATAGTTTGCTGAGAGCCCTGCCTGTGAGAAATGCAGCTTTTCTGTGTAGGTAAAGGCTCGGTCCTGGGTCCCGGCTGGCCGTTGCTTGCTGACGGCCGTGCTGAGGGCTGGGCAGAGGTTCCTGCGCGATCGGGCTGCGCCCTCCACTGCCGCTGTCCCCAGGAGCGCTCACCTCCTGCCCCGGGGAGTCCCGAGACGAAAGAAAAGCGTGCCTCAGGGTCCCTGTTCTTCACTTCGCTCGGCCGGTCCCCTGGCGTGGCAGCGTTCAGAAAATGGAAGTGGAAATGCAGGCCGACAGTGATAGGTTAATCTAACCTGAAATAGCAAGCGTCAGCAGCAGGCAGCGGCAGGCGGTGTTCTTCTACGATCCGGAGCGAGAACCTCTGAAGTTTAGCTTGTAGCATGCTGCAGTGAATGCTTTATCAGAAGGTAAAGCGAATCTGGAGAATAGCTGCCAGCAGCGTTGCTGGCAAGGTCGGTATGCTGCTGGCAATGGCATTTTGCAAGTGAAAAACGCCAGCAGTATTTTGCAAGTGAAAAAACAATGCGAGATGCCACTTTTTTCAAAGAAATGCAGGCTCATTTCAGAACCTAGCAGTTAGCGCTTTCTTCAGAAACAGGCAAGTTAGTTTCTGGTTAGAGGAGAAAGACTCACCAACAGGTACGGTGCATACTTAGTGCTACTTGTGACTGGGAAGATGGTCTTTAAAGGCAGACAGAAACTTGAGGGGTAGCTCAGGTTGTTCTCACAGCCAAATCTGCCCGGTGCAAATACAAATTTGAGAAAAAGAAATTAACTCTGTAACCTTGAAGTTGCACACACAAGTCCACAGCAGCGTAAGAACTCGCAGATAGAAAGAGTCGGTGTTTAGAATCAGGATAAGTGCTTCTTGCGATACCGTTTATTCGTGCGTAGAGTAAATAGTGTCTTCAATTAATTCTGTGTTATTACAGTTGCTGCTTCTTGTATTTGTTCCTGTTCTGCTACAGGAGGGAAAGGAACACGTGCACGGGTAATTCCTTGCTGCTGGGCAGCACAGTGTCTATAGGTGAAGCAGCACTGCTTGAAGCAGGGTCTGAAAGGTTAAATTAGGTACTGCGTGAGGGAGAGGAGGAAGGGGAAAATAGGGACTTGGTGGAAAAGATACAGTTCCCACATGACTTAAAAAGAGTTTGCCTTTGTGCTTGCGTGGTCATTACATCTGTTTCTGATGCACATCAGCTCAGCGGAGAACTCGTTCAGCATTGGGAATGCTAATGGGTGGAGTGGTTAGGCTTAAACCTAGCTCAGCTCTGTATAAGCGCTAATGCATAGCGGTACTGCTCAGTCACTGGTTTTGTCATCTTTTGAAATAGTCTAAACGAAGTCCTCCCATGCCTAATGCATAAGACAGCGTCTCGGGAGTTTTACCAGATAAATCCTAGAGAAGCAGTTGTGTTAGGTAGAGTCCAGTTCAGCTGGCAGAGAAGTCACCCAGAGTAAACAAGGGTTTATGGTAACGGGCTCAGCATCAGCTCATGGATATTTACAGGAAAAGGAAAGTGGTTCTTGCAACACTTAGTAATGAGAAACCAAAGCTGGGGCTTGCCAGGTTTGCCTAATACTTAATATAAAAGTGTTGCTTCACGTTCTGGCAGTATACCATGGCAGCAACAAAACACAACTTGCTTTAGTATTTGCAGAGCTCAGTTTAAATAAAAAATAAGTCACGCTGTGTACTGTTGTGCTGCGGAATGAACTCTGTGGGTCAGATGTCATTTTCGAAGTAGGTTTTTTCTAATCAAAACAGATTGCAATGGAAAGTAGCAGCAAATTGGATTATAAGGTAGCCTCGCTAGTAATTTTCACCTTTGCTTTTTTTTTTTTTTTTTAAATAAGGAGTTTGGCCTACTAAGTGGCCTCTGAGTTTTGCAATAAAAGTGAATCCTGGGACTGTGACGTGCCTGCTTTTAACTCATCCGTTTTTTTCTCTGACCTGTAAAGCAGCGTCGATAGCACGAGTTGTGGCCGAGCCTGTGAGCCTGCAAGGGAAGGTTTGTTACTAATTTCAGTTAGAAGGAGGCCTAAAAACAGTGCTCATAGTGATCAGCGAGTAAAACAGGAAATACGGGAAGTAGTGAAGTCCTCAGAGTAAAGTCTGAGGACTTTAAAATGGAGCATCTTAGAAAAAGAAGCAGAGAGGGAAGCAGAGAAAGGGAGAGTCACAGCAGAGAATGGAGGGAAGAAACGGCGTAACTGTAGCAATACCGGCGTGCCCGTTTCCGTTTCCGTGGGTGAGCTCACTGAGAGCAGCAGGAAAGAGCTGGGTGTAACACGCCACCCAGCAGAGCTAATGCGGCTTTACAGGGGTCGTGAGAGAAGCCTAACGCGTGCAGGGCCCAGAGCAGCCGATGAGGAAACAAAAGGAAAACCTGTCATGACATCATTGCTTCTAAAATCAGTCTTGTCGCAAAGTTGTTGTTCTCTAACCCAGCCTTTCCTGGTGAGTAAACCGTACGCTCAGTGTTGCAGTGCTTCTCTGATGACTCGCGTGGGCAAGGCAGGGCAGCCTGGGTCATGCTGCAGGCATTCAGAGAGCGCTGGCCCTGCTTCGCAGGGACGAACGTTTAGCTGCTTCGAGTTGTCAGCGTGGTGACAAACGAAGCTGGGGAAGGCGTCTAGCTTTGGCTTTGCACAGTTCAGCGAGCCAGGAATGTCAAAAAGCAGCCAGACCTGTCTCTGTTGTAAGAAGCCGCAGGTGTTTAGGTCAAATCTGTGGCCTACGTACTCAGCTGGGAGAGCGCAGAATAAAACAGCCAGAGCAATATCAGGATTTCATTCAGAAAGCAGTTCTGCTGGATAATGCAGCTGGAAAGAATAATTGATTGAAGTGTGAACAAAATTCTGCCTGGGAGTTTGTCTGAGGTTACTGGGATCCCTGCCTTCCTCCAGCTGCTCCGCGGCCGCAGACCGCCAGCGGCAGTAGCTGCGCCCCCGGGCCAGCAGCTGTCTGCCAGGCTTTGGTATTAGTTCTGTTGTGCGAGGCAACGGCTAGCCCCTCTGTGCAGACACTTAAGGTATTTACCATTTGACGTCCCCCTTCCCCGTGTAACGTAGCAAAAAATTGAGGTGGGGTAAGGCCGAGTGTTCTGCCTCGTGCCACAGAATATTTGCATAATAACCCGTGTTCGCAGGAGGAGTATGTTTCTAAGCAGGCTCTAGGAAATGAGAAATGCCGGATACGTATGAGGTGACGGTGCTGCAACCCGGTTTGAAGTTCCTTCCTGAGTCTCGCGTCTAGACATATTTCATTTGGAAGATCATTAGGGAGTTCGTTAGCTTTTAGAAGGGAAACTGCTACTTAAAGACATACGCTCAGAAAGGACAAAGACTTTAGACAGCAATATTTGCCTATTGTTCTGTTAACAGTTAAGCACTTTGTTAGCCTCCGGCTCGTACCCCAGTCACCGGGTTGCTGTGAATATGAAATGACTGAATCAAACTAAGGCAGTCAAAACGCTTTTCATAATTAACAACCTTTGTAACTTAACTTCTTCTTAGCTTAGAAGAGCAAAATTGCTAAGTTTTTGAGAGATGGGTTTAGAGACGTGTGGAAGCTGTCTGAGTTGTCTGCTGATCCCTCTTGCACTTTGGAGTATTGCTGTTAACATCCTATTATACTTCCCTAACGGGAAAACTTCATATGCTGCCAGTTACCAGCTTCCCAACTACGTGTGGTATTTTGAAGGGATCTGTTTCTCAGGTGTGATGGTAAGTGCTGGTTCTGTGGTTTTTTAAATGAATTGCATTCTGCTGCGAATAGCCTTGGGTTACTGCGCAGCGAGGCGTAATTGTGCCAGTTGGGCTTTTAAAGGGGCTATGGATATTTTTGGCAAAAGCACTGCGAGCTATTTAGTTTCATATATGTGATTTTTCTGCTGGCTTTTTGTTTATGTGTACTGTGCCCTTGTATTATCGGTTCAGGTACTGTTTTGGTTTATTTGGTCTTCTGTGGCATTTGAATTAAAGCTCTTTTAGCAAAACAAAACCAAACCTAGAAGACCTCCCACAGCTGTTCAGATCTGTTTCAGAGCTGTATGCAGTCTTTTAGAAGACTGGATACAGTTCGCAAAACATCACGATCTACATCAAGTGCCACTGTTGGGCTAAATACGAAAGAGTGTGCGTCACTGTGACTAGCGTGGTAAGTTTTTTTGCATTGCGCTTGTAATATGCTCATCTACATCAACGAACTGAGGTCCCTGCCGCTCGCGCTGCTTGCTGTGGACACAAAGAAGTGTAGCCTTGGGAGCAGAAAGCGGTAATGTCCCAGAAGCGCATACAAACAATCCGTGTTTAAAGAGGGCTAATGTGCATGAGTGGGATGTTTTTATGAAGGTACTGAACAGGGAGAGGTATTAAAACATGAGACCTTCTTTTGAAATTGTATATTCTTCCTAGAGCAGTAGAAGACCTAGGGCAAGAAAAAGCCATCAGGCAGGGAATTCAAAGGAAAAAGCAGAGCTGAAAATTTGGAAAAGGTTAACTGCAAAAGTAAGATTTCTATTTTGAAGCATTTTTAGCTTCAAGATCATTACCCGTGTGTTAACAACTTTCAAGTTAACCTGTTACAAACAGGGCAACAGCAGGTGAGAGGATAGTGCTGTGCCTTCACTGGCGTTTTTTGCTAGAGCTCATGGCAGTGGTGAAAGCCCTAGTGTCAGCAAAGCTCCTGGTAGCTGATGGCATTTTAAGTAGTTCCAAACAATAACTTACTGCTTAAAATGCTGATGTTGCTGGGACCATTACATTTTTGAGTTAGCTCTTAGCTTTTCTTCATGTATTTTTCTCCTAACCTTCAGCCTTCACAAGTGACAAGTCCAGGACCATCTCCTTCCTTTCTCCCGTTTCAGAAACGTTCCCTTTTTATATGTCCCCATTCGATCTAATGCCTCTCTGACTGGCAATTTGTGAGTCTGATATTCTCAAAGAAACGTATGGATATTTGGCAGAGAAAACAGAGGAGAGTCCAGGTGAATTAAAATGAAAGCTTGTGCTACTGACTTTTTCTAGGATAGCTGTGTTGGTAGGGAGGCGATGCCCTGATCGTGTAACGGTGTCGGCTGACACACAACTGATACCATTGTAGTATTACTAAAAACACCCTTCCTTTCACTGGCATTGATTCTTTTACTTGTGGGCTTGGTTTTGCTCTTTCTGCTTTACCACTATAGCTGCATCCATGCTAGCTACGTTTTGCTGTGAGAGGAGCGACTGATCTCCTGTATTTCAAGAGCAGAGTGATGGCCAAATAAACACAGTCCAGGTCCATGGTTTGCCTTGAGCATGTGTATTTTCCTAGTGAGCTGCTGTGCAAATCTTAACAGAGCACAACAGATGCAATTCCTACCTTGCATAGGCCAGAGAGAATTTGGCCCAATATCTGCAGTCCTCTCACTCACCTTGTAACGTCCCCTTACAGATCCTTCTGTTAGCGGTAACTCTAATAACACTGGAGAGTAACACGTTCTATCGGTGCTGCCGGAGCGAGAGCTGTAACAAAACCTACAGGGTGAGTCTTTGTGTTATTTTTGTGTATCTCGTCAGCATTATGTTCCGAGTGCCTTCCTGCTCCTGTATTCAAGTACAGCCGTTCGTCCTCTCCGCTGCTTTGTTTCTGCTTCCTTTCACTGAGAAGGATTCTAAGTCAGGTTGCGAGGTCGTAGAAAGCGTAGCTCCTTCCTTCTGATGCACAGGCAGGATAAAGGAAAAATAGACAAAAAAAATCCTGGCATCGTAACGTAAGAACATAAAAAAAGGCCTGAGATTTTTTAATCTGGTGCTCCAACTAAATAGCTTCCTCACCTTGCTTTATCATTTGGAAGTTATTTTATCCAGTAACAACTCAATATACACTGCCTGGGATGCAAACATGTTTAATGTGTGTTCTTCCAGCATTCTGGGATACAACTTGGCAAAAATGCAAGTTTAAAAAAAAAAAATCCCAAACAATATATAATGGAGAGTTGTGCAACTGTATTAAAATCCGTCTTAACTTTAATTCTGTAAGTGTATGCTTACTGCTCTTTACTTGGTATTTTTCTTTATGGATTTTCTGAAGGTTGGGACAACCACGTGTGAAATTCAACCCTGAGGAAGTAACTGGGGAGGGAGAATGACTTTATTTGCTTTGGAGACTGTCCCCATGCGGTAATATTTTTTTCTTTTCACTTCAGAGTTTTATTTCAATTGTGCTAGCCCTGCTTGGAATTGCTTTCTCCGGGTACAATTGCATCATTTCTGCCTTGGGGTTGATCCAAGGCCCCTTCTGCAATTCATCAACTGGATGGGATTATATCTTCAAAGACACCGCTGGAGGGTAAGAAACATCTGTGTAACTCTGCTGAAAGAAACCTAATGTCAAAACAAGAGCCAGACAAATTCTCACAGAACTTTGTACCAAATGGTACAGTCTCTTGAACACATGACCTATATTGTGAGAGTGAAGCTTTTCAACTTCTTGAGCAAGCACCAGAATCCTCAAAGAAAGGTATTTACACCTTTTACAACCTAAGACTCTTTGTACTGATCAAACCTGTAGGTCCATCTAGCCAAGTGTCCTTTATCTGGCAGCGGTCACAATCCCACGCCTAGCAAAGAATATAACTTTAGAGTGAGGGTAGATGGATACTTCCTCAGAATATATTCTCAGATTCCTCAAGTTTTTGGTTCAAAGATCATAGGTGGCATTTTTGTATTTATCAACATGCCAGACTTCTCCTTAACTTTCAAAGCTCAAAGAACTCTGCAGTTCGATCACTGGAGGTTTTTGCACACGGCTACCCTGTCTGCTAGAAGCACCTGAGGTAGGCAGGTAAAGGTTTAGAGGCATAAAACTCCTACAGGTTGTTTTGATTCAGATTCAGAGGCGTTGCTTTGGCAAGATATTACATTCTCCCTTTAAAAGATTGAAGTTTGTAATACTTGACTATTTCAAGTCATATAATGCCAAGCTCTTCTTGCTGCATTTTAGTACACAGAGGATCGCAAACAAGTTTCTTCAGCGGCAGTAGGAATATATAACAATATATGTTATATATAACAATGGAATAGACATTCCTAAACTATAAGGTGTGACTTTCTCTGGCTTAAGTCAGCCTTCTTTTAAAACCCTGAGGTAGATCCTGCGATCTCTGTAACGTATTGCCATCATTACCATCCCATTTGGAAATGGGATGTTGATATAGTCAGCATTTAGATATGTTCAACATTTAGAAATAGATATATGCAAAATGGGAGCATGATTTCAACATAAAGGGCCAGGTGCTGAATGAAGTTGCTATTCAGGTGCTGAAGCTGCTCTTCAGATGCAGCTCAAAACACGTGAGTTATGAATGTTTAGAGAAATAGAAGCTGACACTGAACGAGTAATTGTACTGAAGGCCCTTGGAGTTAACCCCCAGGCTATGCCGTGTCTCACAGTCAGAAGGGCACAGCTGGCAAACGCCAGTCGTGCACATGAGGAGATAGATCCTCAGGGGGGCAAAGCGTGGCTGTGGAACAACTGGAAATTGCTGCATTCGGCGGCGCTCACCGCAGCGCTGCACACGCTGGTCAGAACAGTGGCATTTGGCTGTTCCTGTTCTTTGCTAGTACTCGGTACTGATCACAGCTAGACTTAACGTAAAGCTGAAATCAAACTAACAGAGGGAACGTTCCTGTTTTAAACTTGGCTTAGCGCCATTTGCAGAAAATGCCAGTGCCTCTCTAACACTTACGTATCAAGGGTATCAGAAGAAAATTAGTGAAGCAGATGCGTTTGAGGAAATCTGGTCCAGTATCAGGTTTCAGTTACACCAACGTAAGTCATTTTACTCAGCTGAGTTAGACAAAATTCTGCGTTGCTGGTGCAATGAAAGACCGGAGTTTGACTCATGGACTTGAAGCGTATAAGGCCCAATATTGTTTTTTTTTTACATATTATAGCTAAAATAATAAGTCTTTAAATGTAATTGTGTGCACCACATTTATTTTGCCTCACATTGCTGTTTCTCTAATAGGTACCTCACAGATTACTCTGCTTGGTCGCGGTGCACTGAACCTGCGCGCATAGTGGAGTGGAACACCATTTTACTCTCTATTCTGATAGCCCTTAGTGGACTTCAGATGATCATCTGTTTCCTCAAAGTGGCTGCCGAGTTAAAACGGACACTCTGTGGGACCTATTCTGTCTTTGTTCAGGTAATAAAAGATCTGAGGTCATTTCTTCAGCAGCTCCAAGCCAGTTTAGCTTCAGCAATTTCACTCAGTTGAGGACATACCCTTTTGGTTTATGCCATCTCTGTGCTGCTGCATTTTTAGTAGCAGAAGACATGTACTGATAGTAAATTTATTGATTCCTTGTGGTATGCAGGGATTGCAGACTGCTCACTCTTACTTTTAGGACTAGGATTGAGAAGGAAGAAGGCAGCTGGGAATTCAGCATCGATACTGAGTTCATTACTTTTATGTCAGCAGAAGTTTTCTGAGCACCTTTCTTCTAGCGTTCAGTTTGAAGTTTTTCTTACCGCGTGCGGGTTTCACAGCAGTGAGAGGAAGAGGCAACAGGTAATATGTAGCACTCATGGTCTAGGCATCAGTTTTGACTATGTTTTCAGTAGGTTATTAAAATAATAACCAAGAAGGCTCTGCTTTGGGCACAAGGATTAGTTTGAACCTGAGAGTTCAAGTAACTGGTGCTGCTAACCTGCATGCTGGTGTGAAGTGATATGTCTTAGCGTGGCATTTCCCAGGGTTGGAGGGAAGGGAGGTTAGATATGCTGCCCCATCCCTGTCCATCTGCACTGGGATTAAGGAGCCGTCAGTGTTTTTATGTAGCCAACAATAGCAGTTATGGCCGAACATTCCAGAAAGATTTCTGTATTAATAGAAACGACGACCCCAAACGTGCACAGTCACGCACGCGTATGTGCATACGTATCCATACGTATCCGTACACACACGTGCACAGAGTAGGGATAGCTTTATCATCTAAATTTTCTTACAAATGCATTGGGAAACAGTGTTGGGAGGTCAGGGCAGGTAGGAAGTCAGTTCCTGTCCAGCATAAATGTGTCCCGGAGCGAGCTGAGCAGGGAGGGCAGGGAAGCTGCTGGGTCCATGGAGGGCCTTGAGCAAACAGGCAAGGAAGGCGCTTCCTGCAAGAGCTTACTGTAACAGCAACCTATAATAAGGTCAAGGCAGAAGCAAGTGGTCTCAGAACGTTTTACTGCTGACATTTATTGCTAATGAAAGACAGCCTGATTAACCTGAGACCCAGGGCAGCTTTCAGGGGAGTCAAAAGGAGCGTTGTCAGTCTGTCCTTGGGAACAGAGAGGTCAGCTCCTGAGCCTGTAGGGCTCAAGAGTCACCTTCGCTCTTGCAAGTAGATTGGATGTGGAGGCTTAATAGTCAGAGCAACTCCTATTAACTTCTATATTATTCGTATGAAATGGAAAAAAGAGGCCTTTCACTTCCTTCCTTTTTCTTTTGCAGCCTGGAATTATCTGAAACGGCAAGGAAGTCTTCACTGCTCCAAAAAAAAAAAAAAAAGAGAGAGAGAAAAATGGCTTCTTCAGCATTTCTTGTGGTAGATTTGGGTGCTGCAAAGACAAGTGAAACACTTGTCTTAAAATTTTCTCCCTCAAACCTCTCTATTTTGAATAAAGTTATTTAAATCGTTTAATGGCTAAATGCTGAACATCTGCATTTTCCTAAAGAGGCACTGTTTTCTAACTTTTTTTTTTTTTTTTTTACTCTCCAGCTGGTTCTGACGGTAGGGATGTTTGAATACCGTGAGACTGCTTTCGTATTGAAACTTCTTGTTTTGAATAAACTGCTGTATATAAGCATGCTTTTATAATCCTCTTCTTTCCTCTCTCTTTGTTTGTAATGTAGGAATAGTTCTTGTTCTGAAAAGGCCTGATCCAAAGCCTGGTATGGCAGGAGTTGTTCTCCTGAGATGAAGTATACGAATCAGGCCTTGACACTTTAAATGACTAATTTTAATTACAGACAGAACCGTTATGGTCATGAAAGTCAATAGTATGACCCATTCTATACTAGAAACTTTTTAACTGCACAAAGCAGTTACTGAAAAAAGGCTGTTGGGTCTTCCTGAGGTACGGCTTTAGAAAGACATCAAGGCCTAATTTAAGATTAGATACACAGCTCTGAAGTCAGCTATGCTAATTAGTATGCCTTAATAGCTGTACTGTGTTTCTTTGCTTTTTGGTACTCAAAGGCAGACTTTTTTTGAACAAATATTACGGGAATTATTAGGGAACCCTGCGAGCGCCAAACACTAGCTGCTAAATGCCCTGACCTTGCTAAATTGGAGGATTAACATTGTTGCTAATAATAATCAGAAGAAAAAGAACAATCTGTTAAAAATTAGCAGCTGAAGACTTGTTATTTCATCCTGTCCTCAAAGAATTATTGTTTCATTTCCAGTGGAAATTCATGGATTCACAATAAAGTGGATGTATGGCTCATCTGCAGCTGCATAGGCAACATTTAGCTGTATTCAGCACTCTGCACTCCAGTTTCAGAAGATCAAACCGCCAGAGGAAGGCCAGATCTGTACTTCAGACTTGCAGTGACGCATATATCCCTATTATAGCAGCAGTAGTGGGATTCAGCTGTAGGAGCGTTTGATATTTGACACCATTAGAAGTGCAAGCCATACCATAGCTAGCAGCCGTGGATAAGATACTTTTAGGAAAAAAAAAAAGGAAGATCTCAGTAATTTAATTCTCTGTTTCAAGGCAATATGGTGATTTTGTTTTGATATTTGTCTATCAGTTATTTTGAAAAACTGATTTTTTTTCCTGCAGGGTTTGAATAATGTATCTAAAATTCTACTTGCTCAGTTTCTGTTAAGTCTGAAGAAATAATAAAGAAATGAGGCAGCTCATAAAAGCATCGAAGAGACAAGGTGAGTAGGTTATCAGTAGTGAATCGTGGATCTTCACAAAGAGCAGATCTGCTTCTTTACCCGTAAAGACTTTTCATTCTTTAGGGAATCTCGGTACTGATAGTTAAGGAGGGGTCCGGTCTGGGTAACAGTTCAAAGTGGCATGCATGTTTGGAAGTGCGTGATAAGAAGGTATATGATTACTAAGTGGGGTTTCTGTGCAACTGCGCCCTTGGTTTTCCATACGCTTACATGTGTGTCATATTATGTAGCTACTTAAATGATAGTCGCGCATTCATATGGATTTATGGATGTTATTCTGAGAAGAAAAGGGAAAACAAAACATTTATCAACCCTTACTGCTACCACACAGCCTGCAGAATCTTGTAGGCTTCGTGCCTGCAAACCACTTTACTGCTCGTTCTGAGAACGTTGGAAATGGCAGAAAAAGGTTCTGGTTATTTGAATGAAAGGCTGTACGTGTGGGAGACACGTACTGAGCAGAAAAGCTCCAGAATTGCAAAATATTCCTTAGGTGAATGGCTCCATTTTACCAAAGAAAGAAAACAAACAGGTATTCTGTTCAGGCTCCAGCCCAGTCATGGAGAAAATACAGACTTATCTTTAGGCAAACAGGGTCTATTGAGGTAGGTATGCTGGATAAAACCAATGAAATACCTACAGTTTGCACCTGGAAACTCTTAACCCTTTCCCTTGCTCCCATATCTGTCCTCTCCCCCACTTTCCAAAACACTTGTCTCCGACAATGAACAGTTTTGAGTTTGATGTCGGGAGACACAAGGAAAGGTTTCACCGTTTTTTCCACGGTAGTAGCGTTAGTACTGGAATTAGCCATGGAGATAGCTTGACTGTCTCTGCTTCGTGTTTTATTGTGCTTGTGCCCTGTGAGTCTCCCTTTCCTCTCTGCCTCTGGGTTGTATCTCCTACTTTTGTGGCTTAAAATCAAAGCATGAGCTGTGTAATGTAGTTCTTGTTAGAAGGTGCTCTGTGTTTGTAATCCAGCCATTGGCATCTTGGTTGCCCTGGCAAGGACTGAGCTGTGCCTGGAGTGCACAGCTTTTCAAGGGGCGGTTTAGTCATTTGAAATCGATAGTGAGGGCGCTAAAGGCTAATAGTGGATTACATTTAGAAATGTAGGCAACTTATTTCTCACAGGGCCTTTAGGCAGAGCTAAACGTGAACTAGTGAGCGAGAGTCCTGACTCGATCCTAAATGCGGTGTGGAAACTGCCTGGGAGCTAAAAACAGATCCCTGTAAGCAATGTTAACTGACTTGGGAATTCCAGCCTGACTGGCTGCTCTTGGTGGTGAGTGAGGCGACGCGACCGTCCGCTCTCCAGCTGCAGGGTGCAGGCGTTGCCCCAAGCTTCAAGCAGCAAAGAGAAACGGGCTGAGGGAGCGCGGGCACCGTGCTGGCGGAGGAGAAACCCTCTTTCTGAAGAAGGGTTTCCGAACCTGAGGTGTATGTACTGCCAGCTCAAACCCACGGATAGCATGCACCCTTGGCACATCACAAAGGAAGCTTCAAATTTGATTTATACGTTTCTGTAAGGACTTAATGCTGAAACTTGACGGTGAAAGTGCCAGCTTTATTAGTTCCTCGCAGCCGGTGGGTTTTGCCAGAGTATCCCAGTGCTGTGGCTGGACCGGACTGTCCTCCTCTCACCGAGCTCTTCAGCCAGCGCAGGGGCTTTTGTCGGTACCAAATGCTGTTGCCATGCTTCTCAGACATGGATTGATCTCCTACTCGGATGCGGGGCTGCATTTAAAGTATCACAACTGGAAGTAGATGTAAAGGCTCGGTTTTGACCATAGCTATACGAATGCAGATAACTTTCTCCTTGAAAGCATTGTCAGTGACAGACACTGCAGGTAGGTAGAAATCAGCTGAGACTGTCCACAAACAACTGTGGTCAGACATGTGCAGTAAAATACTGTGAAGCCCCAACCCCCTTTGCGTTTTGGGGTGTGTTACTCCTTCTGTAGGTAAAAGCGAATCTCTCTGCGGTGTGATGTACTAATGCACCTCCCTGTCCTTCAGCTACTGGACGGAGGCTTTTTTCACATTGAAAAATTAGGGAGTATCAGAGGAGAGAAGAAGGTCCCCAGAGCTTTGAAGGGCATTTACCTGCAAGGGTTTTGCAGGAGGCCGGAACAGCAGGATGGGCAGCAGATTAACAAAATTGTCCAGGTCAGGAAATTATGAAACTGTGGGTTTCAGTCTCACCGGGAGCTTTGGGGGTTTTGTGGGTTTTTTTTTTTTTTTGGTCAGAATATTCTGGTTTTGTTTTTGAGACCTTTCAGAATAGTCACTGCATTTCAGCATCTTCAGCATGAAAAGTGAGGTCCTGTGGTTTAAAACAATAGGGGCATATTCGTGCCACCAAACTTTAGATTCCTAATTTAAGTAATTAATTTAGTTGCTCAGTCTTTTTAGGTCCTGTCTACCAAAGGAGAGAGACTCTTGCTCTTTAAACACCCTCTGACGAGACTAATACAGGCTTGGGAGGCTCAGTCAGCGCTATAAATGTTTTGAGATCCTTAAGAGAAAGATAACAGGAGGGTACTCAGACACATGAGTACCTTAAAGCCTGGGTGAGGATTGGTTAAAAGCTGTAATGGCAAAATCTTGCATGTCAGAAGTGTTCGTCTTTAAATAAAAGAAAAAATGTGTAGTTGTTCAGCAAATCAAGAAACAGTAATTCAGGGGAGTCAAGGGACTAAAGCAAGGAATTGCTCATGTTTCTACCCTCAAAGAAATAAGGGGAATTCAATTATACTGGTTATGCGCCTTTTTCTCCTCCTCAATTCAGTGACAATTTAGAACAAAAATAAGCCCAGCAGCCCACAAGCACATGAACGACTCTTAGTTAGCTGAGTATTAAGGAATTACATTGAATTTAAGTAGTAAGGAAGGAGATATACATTTTATTATTGCTTTTACCTGACTTAATTTACACGTGGGGCACATACGACTGGTGCAAAGTAGTCTTTCCACCAGACCATTGACCTTCATCCTTGGAAAAGAAAAAGAAACGTTACATAAATCACTCTGAGCGAGTGATGCCGACCTGGGGAACTCCAGCATTTCATCACAGCGTCGGTCGGCTTTGGACGACGTGGGTCTGGCTGCAGTCGCTTAGGGAGAAACAGACCCCGCCGTTTAACACCCGTTTGGCAGGTTCTGAAAGGTGAGTTTAAGACCTCCACTTTTCTGACGATTTCTGAACTTTTTTCTGTGAAAAGATATTAAAATTGGCAATTTATCTGTATATCACGTTGCTGGTAAAGTAACGTTACATTTGAATGTAGTTAAAGACAAGCTGTCGTGCTTTAGTTATATTCTGAACCTTAGTCTTCTCTGCAAAATAATCATAAGTGTTTCTGAGCGTTAAGAAAACAGGTTCAGAGAAGATTGTTTTATTATGAATGTTTTTAAGCTGTCATACAGTGAAAAGTGTGTAATAAGTGAATAAGTGTGTTTGTGTCAGTTTCTCAGATTGCAAAAGAGTTTTTAAAAAATGCCCAAGTGACTGAGGGTATGTCTTCACTTACTGGGAATCTTTACAGCCTGCAAGTTTACGACTGGCTTTGTGCGTCTAGGTAAGCTGCAGACGCAGCCATGCCGTGGTTGATGTATGCTTGGGGGAAAAAAAAAAGCAATTACAAATTTGTTAGGTGCTTTTAAGAAGTCCTGTGTTTAGGAGCCAATTTTGTTGATTTTTTTTCAATGAAAGTAGCAGATACAAAACATTTACAGAACTTGAGAACAAAACAAAGCCTTCTGCACTGAATGATAAATTTAGATAATGGTAACAGGTAGGGTTATCTTGAGCTCTGTGCATCTATGCTTTGTATCATGACAGAACGGGGGTCTCCTCTCTGGTGGCAGAGTGGGAGCAGGACGCCGTAGGGAGCTCATTTTGTGGACTTTCCAGGCTTCATTTCCATTTGGGCAGGAGCAATACTGAAACGGCTTGGAAAGGAAAGGCAGCCTCACCCTCCTCCTCGAGCAGTGGCTCCTGCAGGGGCTGCTCATCTCCACATCTTGTGCTAAATTTGCATTTCAAAGGGAACGGCAGTGAGTGAGCAAAGCTTATCCTGGTATATATCAAGGTGTGAACTCTACTCTGCTACCTGTAGCCTCAGTCCTTCCTCAGCCGTTTCTGCCTCATCAGTTCAATGGCTGCTGTACCAAGAGGAGTCAGAGAGGTAAGTCTGTTCAGAAGGAGCGAGGAAAACAGGCAGCAGAAAGTGCGCCCATAGGGCCTGTCTTGCTTCCAGTTACGTCAACATAGAAGCAGATACTTCAATGAAAACCAGGTGTCGTTTAGAGCTTTTTCACAGTATGCTTAGAAAAAGCTGTCTTCTTCTGCAGCAGCACTTCACAGGAATTACTTACTCCTTAGGACGCAAAACAGAGAGACAGTGGTAAAGGCAGTGAAGAATGCAATTCAGGTTAGGTCTGCGAGTCCATTTAAATCTACAGGACCATAAATCCAGCTACAAGATTCACACTCTGATTACAGTCTAAATAGTAGTTTGCATTATAGTAGGTTGGCAGAAATTGAAAGAAATGTCTTTGAAGATTACCTGAACTGATGAGGTTACCAGAATCTGTTGTTTACTCTTGACACACAGAGACATTGTGCAACTTCTTATTGTGTTCTCCAAAGCAAACGGGGGGGGGAACGGACAGAGCGTATAAAGGGAAATCGCATGTGTCCATCCTGTGTTTTTATTTCACGTTTTCCCCAAGGTGTGCGAATGCAAAATGAAGCTGTTCTTCCTAAGCGGCTTGCTGCTTTCTTGCTGTTGCCAAGCTGGGGCAGTGAAGAGAGAGTACTATCTCGGGATTATAGAGACGGTGTGGAACTATGCGCCTGGCAATAAAAATATCATATCTGGACAGCTCTTTGCAGAAGAAGAGTAAGTAATATGATTTTATACTGACTGAGTTTGATTTTTTCAGCATTGTCTACTTCAGACTGAAAATCTGGTGAGGTCAGTGAAACAACTAATACTCGTGTCAGTAGATTTTCTGTCAGAGATACAAGGGAATTTCTGTTTTTTTCCTAGCTTGCTGAAGAATTAACTTCCAGCCCTCTGCTGTTTAAAAGCACTGGAATATGCAAAGTGCTTTTTGTGAATTTATTGCAATTAAATCCTTACTAAGTAAAGACTAGAAGAAGACCACAAATGTTTGATGATGTTTAAGTTTGTATGACATGCTGTTGCTGAAGGGGAGGATTTTGCTTTTATGTCTTTAAACCCAGGAGTCTGACAAGTTTAAAGCTGGGGAAGGGGAAGGGGAAAGCACAGCATAACTGTTAGCAGGAATACTCTACCGCTGAAGGTTAACTGTTTAAACGGTCCAAGAAAAGCCACGATATACTCCCCTGAGTTAATCTGTGGCTGAGAAGATTCCTGCAATCAGACTTTCACACGGTGACCCTGTACGCTGAGTTTACTCCCTCCAAATCGCACAGAGCTCTGCGTTAACCCTTCAGACCTGTGCTTGGCGACCTACAAGCAGGTAAGGCTTCACCGCCCTCCGGCCCCTGGGGAGGGGGCGTGTTGGGGGCAGTCCTGGCGAGCCTCCTAACGTGCCCGAAACGTGAAACCCCCCCATCGTGAGGGT